AGTTCCACCTGTTCCAAACCGTGTCAGCATTTGTCATTATTAGCCTTTATAATTTTAGATCTAATGGGCTTATGATGCTAATTGTGGTTTTAATTTATATTTCTCTTGTGTCTAAGGATAATGGATACCCATTATGTTTTTTTGGCATACATACATCTTTTGTGAAGTGTGTCTAATATTGTACTCATTTTTAAAATTAGGCTGTTGGTCATCTTATTGCTAGAGTCTTAAAGAGCTCCTGATATTTCATGTTCAACTTAATTTCAAAATACACATTTTTCTCTTCACATTATTTGCTAGTTTTTTTATGTGATCAGTCTTAACTTCATAGTATCGTTGCTATGCATTGTTTTACCAAGATAAGAAATTTTGTTCCTATAAAACAAAATGTGAGCAGTTGATGAATTATAGCAGAATATGAACTTATATATCTACTTGTGGAAAGGTCCGACTGATATGGGGATTCACAAGTAAAAGTGGAGTTTCAACAGTGAATGAAGACAGGTCATATTATTAAGTCAGATCTAGAGAACCAGATGTCATGCAATAAAATATATCAGTACTGTGTATACATGTCTGTTATTATTGCCAAGCAGTTCTTACCAGTCTCTTCTCATACCTGCCCTTTTCCGCATTAGTCACAAAGCTGTATGTGGTACTCATAGTCTTTTTTTTTTTTTTTTTGTCTTTTTCCTTTTTATCGGTACCGGGGATCGAACTCACGACTGCCTGCTTGCAAGGCAGGCGCTTATGCCGCTGAGCTAAATCCCCAGGCCCCTAAAGATGATTTTTTTTTTTTTTTTTTTTTTTTTTTTTGTCTTTTTCCTTTTTATCGGTACCGGGGATCGAACTCACGACTGCCTGCTTGGTACTCATAGTCTTTTAAAAACCACTGGATATATTTACTTTGCATATATCTCCTTCTGTTCTATGGCCCTTTCTTGCCCTAAGTGTAATACTAGAAAAGTGACAAGTCATTTAAGAGAGAGTATTAAGGTTAGACTTTGGGGACACAGAGGGAATCAAGGGGGTCTGAAGATCAAAGAAGAAAATCATCCAAGAATTGAATAGCCTCCTTTGTTTGTACTTGCAACATTAGAAGAAAGTGTCCTTTAGTACCCACCTCTTTCCAAGATACATAGATGTCTTTAGAAAAATAGATGATGTTAATATCAGGAATACAGTAGGAGTTTCTTAGATGAATACTGTTCTTAAAATTCTTGATGTGCATAATCTTTGTGTCATGTAGTAAGGATTTTTGTTGATAGGACAAGTTTGAGAATCTTGTTTCTTCTTCTTGTCTTTAATCAGTCTTTGGCCAGTGTATTTGAGTTTGTCTGCTGTACCATTCATAGCTTCAGACAAATGATTCATGTGTCCTTGGTCTTTACTCCAGTTCTGCTCATCTTCCTGTTGCTCATCCCTTATTTATCAACCTATGGTTACTTTGAAATTCTCCTACCTAAAAAAAAAAGATTAATAAATGTCTGTACATATTTACATTCGTTGTTGAATATTCAAGAATGAGAAATGCTAAATACCTTAACTACCCCACTCCCATCCCTAGAACAGGGTATCTTTATGTAGCTCATCTGGCCTTGAACTCTGGGTAGTCCTCCTGCTTCAGCCTTCTGAGATTACAGGCATGCTCCACCAAGCCCAGCTATTTTTTTCTTTAAAGATGTATCTTGTGGCCAAGATCTGAAGTTTTAGCTTCTAGTCATATATCTTGTCAGAAATTTCTTTTTCCTCCTTAAATCATTACAGAACCTTTCTTTCAGATATAATTAATTACAAAGTTGAGTTATAACGGAGTAGCTTAGTTTATAAGCAATTCACGTGAACAAAACATTGGTATTCTTTCAGTTTGGTTAATAGTAATAATTTAATTTGAAATATTTTCCTTAATGCAAGATAATTTTAAAATAGGATATAATTTTCTTGTTGTTGTTATCTGATACTGGAGATTGAACCCAGGGCCTTCACCATGAGCTACATCTCCAGGCCTTTTAAACTTTTTAAAATTATGCTAAGTTGTCCAGGGTAGGCTCAATCTTGGAATCTTTCTTTCTTAGCCCAAAGTTCAGTGTGCTGGGGTTACAAGTGTGCCACCATGTCCAGCTAGTATACAGTTTGTTTTGAATCTAATTCTAAATATGGTTATAGTTTTGATTTCAAATAAAAACTGCTCTAAATTAAGATAATCTTTATAAACCAATAGCATACATCTTTATTTCAGTTTTAGTTACTTTTGAAGCTACCTTAGGTAGGTTATTTGATAAGTTGGTAATTAAAACTATTACCAGATTTTTCAGTGAATCTTTATATATTTTTTAGCATGGTTTTTTTTTTTTTTTTCTGATTGATCTCCTAAATCAAATTTCATGCTTTTCTTTGCTAAGGTGAAACATTTTCTGGAACTAAGTTGGCTTCTTACGCCATAAAGCCTGGTTACAGTGGTTTGCTCTGATAAGTGCTATGTATATTTAAGAGCCTGGACATGTTCCTGAAGTTTGGTAACCAAACACAAGCTTCTTAATGTATAAAATAAAACACTTTTGAAGTCAAACACATCTGTTAAGAGTCATAAGTTCTCTTTTCTTAGACATATTTTATGCTTCTGTTTAAATTTCTGAATGTAATCATTTGTTAGTCACTGATCTGTGTAGAAGCATTCAGAGTTGTACATTTAGGTAATAATAAAACTACTCAATTTTCCTAGACCTCTGTCTAGAAACGCTTTTTATGTTATTTTTATGTTTGTATTTAAATACTACTATTTTATGTAAGTGTAATATCAAACATCTGTAAAAGACAAAATAGTAAAATCACTTAATATTCTTTCACTGTTCCATTTGAAATTACAAAGGCATTATCTTTAGTTGGTTTTAGTTGTATATAAATATTTTTAATATGCTAAAATAGAATTTGTGGGAGTCCTATGGAAAACTTACTCAAAATATAGTACAGAATTTAAATCCTATAAAGTATTGAATTTATTTCTAAAATACATATGAATTACATGTTATCACACAGGAGTGAACTTTGTGAACTTCATACATAGTAACCAAACTCTCCCTGTTTTTGTTAATCTGTGAGTAGTCATTTTACACGAGTTTATAAAAATTAAGCATTTTTGTAATCTGTGATTGTAATCAAGTGTATTTTTTCTATTAATGAAAGTTTAGTCATGATAGCACGACTAATCTTCGATTATCCATTATAAATAAAAAAGCAGAACATAAGAAATTATAGTTTAAATTTTACAGTTTCAGTTGATCCAGTGTTTATTTTTTCCACTAATAATTTCTGCAGCCCATGTTCCCATTGGAAGAAGACTTATCAGTAGTGCTTCTAAGAAGTAGACTAATTAGCAGCTTGTATCATTTTATTTTTGTTTGTTAGTCATGACTAAAAGAGAAAAGAAAACATAGTCTTAAGCTAATCCATATGCTGAATAATCCTTCCTTGGGGGAAAAATACAGCATATGAACTGAGTATTTTACAAAGAAGCTTTTTCTTAATTGACCTAGGAGCATATTATTTTGGCTAGAAAAAAATACTTCTACAGAAAACAGCATAATAAAATTTTATATATCCTGGTTCGTGAACTTCTAGTACTCGGATCAGTCTTAATTATTAGGTTTTTTTCACCTGGACCCAGCCCTTTTAAAGAATGAAAAAAATGTTTTAAATGTTCTATAAATCCTTATTAGTGTATTTCTTGGCTTCTTTCTTGTCATTTCTTTCAAATATTACACTTTAAAAATTCTCAGTGAGTCCTGTTTACATTATAAGCATGGAAAAAAGCTGAATTTTAGCTTTGTCATCAAGTTGATAGTGACCTTAAAATCCTTCAGATTTATTAACAATGTCAACAACTCTTAACTGGTAAAACAAAAAAAATTCCGATTCTTGAAAAGCAGCCTGGGGGCTGGGGATTTAGCTCAGCAGCATAAGCGCTTACCTTGCAAGCAGGCAGTCATGTGTTCCATCCCCGGTACCGATAAAAAGACAAAAGACAGAAAAAAAAAGAAAGAAAAGCAGCCTAGATTACCCATAGCTGGTTGCCAAATTATATAACTCATCTTGCTGCCCTCCTGGAAATTTATATTAATTTGTTTATACTTTCTACTAATGATATGGTTCGATAAGTCCTCAAAAATGCATTTAAGGCAGTATGCAGATTTTTACAATTTGATTACCAGAAATCATTTTGTATGATTAAGTTAATTTTAAAGCAGCTAGGTGTTTGTTGTTGTTGTTTTTGTAAGATAGTAAGACTGTATTTAAGAAAGTGCCATGGTGATAGGTATAGGGACCATTGCAACAGAGTCTTGTAGCTGAGAAGAGAAATTGGGCTAAATTCCTAAGAATGGTTTGGTTTTTTTTTTTTAATCTATATATATTTACAGCCAAATTTAATTTCTGAACCTTTACCAGTGTGACAGACATTCTGATATAACAGTTGCTATTCCTAAATATTTCATACAGTTCGTTGTTATAAAATCATACTACTAATAATATTCACTAAGTAATTTAAGTATAAGTAACATTATAACTCATTCAATTTCTTGTACTTCCTTAGATTCATTTTGACACTTCATATTGCCTTTGAACTTTTTTCTTTGTTGTCTTGAAGTTTAAACTATCTCAAAAATTAAGAACCACTCACCACCTGCAAGAAGTGGTCCAGGGGACTTTTAAACATTAGGTTAATTCATATGACTGCTTGAATGTTTGGGTAAGAGAAAAAAGAAAGCTAACTTAAATTACCCTTACTATTAAAACCTGATTATGTTGGCTCTCCAGTGTCTAGCATTTAAAAATTCTAGCATTTTCTGTTCACATCATGATGAATTATATCCAGCGAATTGTTTCTAAGATATTTTGGAAAAAGAATGATTTTTTAGATGTAAAAGGTTAAGAAATTTAGTGTATCATGAAGGAAAACTTCTTAGAATGCTAACGGCTTTTTAAATAAATCATTTATTTGCTAGGTAAGTTTTCTTCTACGCTGTATGAGACTGGTGGCTGTGATATGTCACTTGTGAATTTTGAACCAGCAGCAAGAAGAGCATCCAATATCTGGTATGTGTGAAGACACGTTAAGAGTGTGTATGTGTTTACATATATTTGCCATCTTTAAATATTTTAAGCCTAAAGGAATAAATGCTTGTTTAAAAACTATTTATGACATATACTTGTGAAGTACAGCATATTTGAAATCTTATATACCCTGCAGATAGGCTTACTTAGTTAGTTAACTTGTGCATGAATTTTTTAAAAATGGGTTTTTTGGGCACAACTGAAAATTGAAGCCAGGGCCTTTGAGCTACATCCCCAGTTGCTCCTCACTCTTCTTTTTTCTTACTTTGAGACAGGGTCTTGCTAAGTTTCCCAGGTGTGACTTGAACTCAGGTTCCTCCTCCCTCAGCCTCCTGGAGTGCTGGGATTACAGGTGTGCCTTGGCCCATTTTTTAAGTTTTGAGGGGCCATTTAAAGGAATAGGGTCTTCCAGTTACTCATTTAAGCATACTGATTAAATCCAGTTAGGATTCACTGTCAAAAAATTATTAAATTGGAATGGATATTAGCTGATTCTTAACAGTAGAAACCTTTGAGAGTGGAGGAGTGAGAACGCAATTGTTACGTTTAATGTGATGTAGGAGAAGAATAATTCCTACATTTCAGTTGTGGAAAAACTTCTTGTTTTGAAATCTAAATGTGACTAATCTGTGAAAACTGAACTTTTATGTTTTAGGCTATTTTATATATGGTAGCTTAGACTTGTTTGATTGTTAATGGTTCCAGGAAATTTATTAATTGCTTTCTTTGGATCATCTCATTTAAACACTTTCATAAGAACCTTGTGATCAGGTGCTTTAATGTTACTGACAAGAAAACTTAGAAATAAAGAAATTAGATAACTTTTCTAAGAACTCAGTCTGCTGAAGAAGAGATTCAGATGCAGACACTGGCCCCATTGCTATGCTCTTAATCACAGTTCTGGGAAATGCTACTTTACATTTTGAAATTGACAGAAAAATGAAAATAGTGTAAATGTCATCTACTGTTAAGCCATTTGTTTTTCTTTTCACTGCTTGACTACTTATTCTCTGGCTTCTTACCCATTTTATTTTAGTGACACGGACTCCCATGTATCCAGTTCTACCTCAGTGCGATTTTACCCACATGATGTGGTAGGTTTTCATTAATTTTTAACATAGTGTCTTTTCACATAAATCTGAAAAATATATTTATATAGATAGGTATACAAATCAAAAAAGTTGATGAAGTCTCAGTGTCAATTTTGTTGAAAATGGTTGAAAAATCACCTTTCCTAAGAGCAGATCTCTCTTAATAAGCAGGAAATAAACTGAAATTTATTATGCCCCTAAAATATTTATTCATATTTTGAGAATATATAAAGGTCCATTTACTCACCAACATCTGTAATCTGAGTGTGCAATTTTTAATTGTGTCATTTGGCAACCTCACCTTATGTATTTTGATTTGATGGAGTTGATAACATTACTGTATAAAAGTTATGAGATACAGTAAGGATAAAAAACCATTGCTTTTGCCATCACAATGTATATATTCAGGTTAGAGCAGACAAAATGAATGAAATCCTTGTAAGGAACACGTACAGATGAATTTAATGCCGAAGGAATTAATCTTTAGTGACTTTGTAAATTTGGATTGGGTTTTTAAACTATAGGTGTAAGGGATGGGGATTTAGCTCAGCGGCATAAGTGCCTGCCTTGCAAGCAGGCAGTTGTGAGTTCGATCCCCAGTACCGATAAAAAGGAAAAAGACTTAAAAAAAAAACTATAGGTGTAAATAGGCGTAGAATAGTGGATTCCAACCTTCAGTTATTTGGCAGTATCTGGAAACATTTTTTGCTTGTTGTAGCTTGAAGTATGTATTGATACATAGAGGATAGAGATGCTGTGAAATATCCTGTAGTGGATCGCACAGCCCCCAGAAGGATTACCTGACTCAAAATGTTGGTAGTGCCAAATTTCAGAAACTTTAGCATAGATAATAAAAGCGTTCTGGAAAGTATCTGTCAAAGCTTAGGATAGAAACAACTGTGTTAGATATGGAAAGTGTATTTTCTTCTTCCTCCTCTTCTTCTTTTTTTTTTTTTTTTAATCAATACCGGGGATCAAACTCATGACTGGTGCTTGCAAGTCAGGCACTTATGCCACTGAGCTAAATCCCCAGCTCCGGGAAGTGTATTTTCTTGACTATACTTACATTCATATTTGAAAAAGATGTTCCTTTTTGCTGTTGTGTATTTCTAGAAACTTAATAGGAAAGCAAATAATTTTTTCCCCACTTTTTAATGGTAATGAGAACCTTGAAATAACAAGATACTGCCTAATACTGTGCCAGAGAAAGTAAACTTTTGAAACTTTCAGGGAAGAGGAAATTGAGGATCTGGTTAACTAGAAGAGTTAAAGCTAGGAAAAATATAATATAGTAACTTCCTGTAGAACCTCAAATGAGCAGCCTACCAAAACAACAGGAAAGGGGGAAGATTTAGTAGCAGTAATGACAGTGTGACAGGACACTGTATGTAGAAATGAGTGTTAAAGGGCTCAAATTTATCATTAACAATGAGATTCATAGCTTACTGAGAAAAGAAGCATAAATGTGACAAAGAGAAGTCACTAACGCTTCAGTGCAAGTGATTTTGTTGGATTTGCTAGCTGTAATAGCATAAAATCTTATGATTGCAAACACATTTCCTAATGAAACCTTTCCCAAAAGCCTGTTGATTAATCTGCTTTGTTTTAGTTCAGTTTCTGTTGTGTTACTTTCTGTGCTTTCTAATGATCATAATTTTCCCAAGGAGTGGACCAGAGTATTGAGAAGCTTTGATAATGTATAAGCTGATTGAGCAACTCCAAGTCATGATTAATTAAAAATATTTCAAACTTTCCAGTGCTGACTTTCTTTTAGCTCTCTCTCCCACAGATTCGGTTGAATAGACTGTTGACCATCGATACAGATTTGTTAGAACAGCAGGACATCGATCTAAGCCCTGACTTGGCAGCCACTTACGGTCCAACAGAAGAAGCTGCGCAAAAAGTTAAACACTACTACCGCTTTTGGATCCTGCCCCAGCTCTGGATTGGGATTAACTTTGACAGACTCACACTTCTGGCCCTGTTTGATAGGTGAGGATATAGTTTGATATGAAAGATAAAGATTTTGTTCTTAATTTGAGGTCTTCCTAACTACCCATTATCTTGTTGGGAAATATTTTCTGTTTTTGTCTCCTTGAAATTGATTTTCTTAAACCCATTTAAAACTTCTGTAATTATAGTAAATTTGTGTACAGATACCTTTTATTATCAATAGCAGTCATTCAGCTAGTACTTGAAATATAAAATATATGAAGGATTGACAATCTTATTAATGCTGTAGGTAATATGATCCTCAAGGTAAAAGTTTCAAAAGGAAAATTCTGTTCTCCTGTTTCTTAGCGTATAATGTTAGTATTAAAAACATTAGTTTGGTTGCAAACTTGGTGACTAACAGCTGTTTCCAGTCGATATGGAATAACCCTACTAGATTTACCCTTTCCTGTGAACAGACAGAATACACCAAACAGTCGTTTTTAAGACATTGGAGATAAGAGTAAAGAACAGTGATTCCTGAGAGATGGGAAACAGATGCTGTGAGCCGTACAGTTGCCCCAGGAACCTGAAGAGAGCAGGACACAGGGCTGTGACACAGGGCAGGAGAACCGAGAGTCCAGTATACTTCCTGAGTTGAGGAGGTGTAGGGTCTAGGGAGACAAAAATAGTACACACTATTTGATGAGAGAGCTGGTCAGACTGCAAAGCCCAGAGATCTGTAATTGGTTCTCGTGACTGTTGAGCAGAATATTTGTAAGTGCATATGTTTGAGGAAACTGTCAGCTCAGGAGAATTTTGTCTCAAAAGTAGGAAATCATTAGCTTTGTATGAGTACTACTTTAGATCCACATAACAAGTTATAAAAGCAGAGATCAGTCTCCACATAGCATAACAAACTCATACAGATTGATTGAAAAAATTCCTCGCTGACATCCAGTGTAAGGTAACCAGATGTACAAAAAAATGAGAAAACAAGATGTATAATGAAAACAGTAATAGAGACCAACCTGTAGGTGGCACAGATATGACAGCAGAAATAAGTTCAAAATCAAATGTAAATAATTGACATCTACCATATCTAAGAGGAAAAAATGCGCTAGAGGGCTGAGACATAGTTCATGGGTAGAACCTTTGCCTACTATGCATGAGGCACTGGGCTCAGTTCCTCACAAGAAAGGAAGGGAGAGAGAGAAGAAGAGAGGGAGGAAGGAGAGAAAGAGAAGAAGGGAAGGAAAAAGAAATACACAAGATGGGATTAATGGATAGATTACATTTATAGAAAAAAAGATTAGTGAACTTGATGGCATAATGATAGAAACTATCCAAAGTGAAACAGGGAAAAAATAAAAGCAGAATCTCCCCTAAAGTAATCTCTTATGAAAGGCACAAAAAAATTGAGAATAAGCTGTGGGACAACTTCAGGAGGAGACAAGTATAGAAGAAAAAGATTTTAAGAAATAATGGAAAACTTCCTAAATCTGATGAGAACTGTAATATACATTTAAAAAACTTAGTGAACCCCAAGTACAAGAAACCTGAAGAAAACTACTTCAAGGTACATAATTGCTCAAAACTAAAGATAAAATCTTAAAAACCACAAGGAAGAAAAGAAAGCGTATTTTATATGGAATAACAAGAATAGTAAGACCTTAATTTTATTGCTGTAAATATTGAAAGTCAAAAGACAGTGGAAGAGTGTTTTTAAATTACAGAAGGGAAAAAAAATCACTGAATTATCAACCTAATATTCTATACCAGTAAAAGCATTCCTTAAAAGACAAGGAGAGATATAGATATTTTCAAACTAGGAACAATGAGAAGACTTCATCACATAGACCAATTCTACAAAAGATATTTAAGGGTTTCTTTGAGGCAGAATAAGAATGGTATCAGAAGTGTAGACCTACCTAAGAGAATAAAGTTCACGAGGACTGGTAACTACAGGAGTAACCATGTAACATATTTTCCTTCAGAATTAAATCTCTTTAAGAGATAATTGGTTGTTTAAACAGAGTAATAATGAATTGTATGGCTCGTCGCATGTAAAAATAATGTTGATAACAATATAAAGACTCAGAAATAGAAGTATACAAGTTTCTCATGTCATTGCTTGAAGGCATAGTATCATAAAATACTTATAATAAACTAGCATGGCTATCCATCTAGTGGTTTGTCTTGCCTGGGTAACATTGAAGAGGACTTGTCTTGAGCCATGTATTTTATATATAAATATATATGTATGTAACTAGTTAATATATAGAGGTGACAAAGCTATCTTTTTTAATACAGAACTTAAAAGGAGGGCAAGGATTCCATAGGGTGCAGGTTGGACATTTCTAAAAGCAACCCCTAAAACAAAACAAAAGTTACAGCTAGTATGTCAAAAAAAAAAAAAAAAAAAAAAAAAAAAGGAAATAAAAGTAGATTATTGAAAACTATTCTGATTTTAAAAGGCATTAAAAAGAAATAAAAAGGACAGGTAGAAAACAAACATCAAGATTAGAGAGTCAAACAAATTTTAAAATTGTTCAGTTGTATTAAAAAAAGACTATGCTGCCTATAAGAAATATACTTTAAATGTAAAAACAAGTAGATTAAAAATAAAAAGATGGAAAAAGGTAAATGATGGTGAAACTAGCAAAAAGAATTTTGAACCAGCTATATAAATGTTAAAGTAGGTGTCAGCAGAGAATATTATCACAAAGTAAATGTCATTTCATAACGAAAAGGGGGCAGTAACCCTGTAGGATTTAATGATCTTCAATGACTGCACCTAAAACAGAGCTTCAAAATACATATGGGCTGGAGGTACTCAGTGGTAGAACACCTGCTTAGTAAGTGCAAAGCCTTGATTTTGATCTCTAGCACCACCACCTCAGAAACAAAGCAAAACCCTACAAAAATAAGATTGATAAATCCAAAATTATCTCTGATTGCAGCATCCATCTTTAAATAATTAATAGAATAAATATATAGAGAAATAGCCAGCTTTCTATTTCTGTGACAGAATACTGAGACAATCAAGTAAGAGGGAAGGTTTGTTTGGCTCATAGTTTTGGAGGCGTCAGTCCATGGTAACCTGCCCCTTTGTTTTTGGATCTATGGCAAAGCAGTATATTATGGTGGGGGAGCATGTGGTGGGGGGTGCTGTTCACTTCATGGCAGCCAGGAAGCAAAGAGAGAAATGGGGGTTGGGGGACTGACTCTGAACATCCCCTTTAAGCATTCCCTCAGTGACCTAGCTTTTTCCCGTAACTAGGCTGTCCCTTCTGAACGTTCTACCACTTCCCAGTTGGACCATATACTGGGGACAGCGTATAGCTTTTGAGGGGCATTCCAAAGCCCAACTATAGCAGTGAGAATATAGTAGACTTGAATAGTCAATATGAATTGATGTTTATGGAACAAATTGTGCCAAATTTGCCTATAATGAGAAAACATATTCTTTTTTTTTTGATAACTTTTTGAAATTGGTTATACAGGTAAGATTTATGAATGCATGTAACATACTTTGATTAGTATGTTACTGTCACCCTTCTTACCTCCCCCTCCCCTTAGTTGTACACTTAGTGGGGGGTTCAGAGTTCATAAAGTATTTTGTAATGCCTTTTCCCTGAAGTTCTCACCCTTACACTCCCTCTCCTTCCTTCTATTCCCTTCCCCTTGTCTAGTAATAGTCTCCCTTCTACTTCTTTGTTTTTTGGTTTTTTTAAATTTTACATGTTAGGGAAGATATACAATATTTGACTTTCAGAGAGTGGCTTATTTTGCTTGTGTCATGGTTTCCAGATCCATCTATTTTAAATGACAGAGTTTCATGTTTTATGGCTAATAATATTCATATTATATGAATATGTAATATATATACCATGTATATATATATCACATTTTATTTATCCATTCCTGTTTGGGGCATCTAGACTGTTTCCATATCTTGGCTATTGTGAACTGTGCTGCAATCAACATGGGAAACTATATGTTCTTTTTAAATGTTCATAGAACATCACCAAGATAGACTATATTCTAGACCATAATAAAAGGGTCAATAAATTTTAAAAAGGATTCAGATAATTATGTGATCTCTACTACAGTGGAATTAAATTACAATAAACCAGTAATTTTCATGAAAGAAATGAAGAGACAAAGTGTTTTGAACTAGACAAAAGTAAAAACTATATCTAAGTTCTTAGGATTCTACTAATGTATTACTTAGAAATATTGATTAGTCTTAAATAATCTAGATTAGAAAACAAAGCTCTCAAATCGGTGAATTCACCTTCCATTTTGGAAAAATAGAAGAACAAGAACACATTAAGCCCAGCTAGGGAGAAGGAAAAAATAGTAAAGAATAAAACAATTCTGAGAATATACAGGAAAAAAAAAAAAATCAAAAGCTGGTTCTTTGGAGACATCAATGAAATTGATAAGCCTTTAGCTACTATGATCAGCAAAAAAGGACACATATTATCAATAACAGGGATGTGAACTATAACATTAAAAATTCCACAGACATTAAAAGAAAAATACAATTGTACCTCGGTTCATGAACAGTTTGGTTCATAAAAGCATTTGACAAAATTTAATTTTTGTTTGTGAACTCTGAAGTGGGTGATGAACATCCAGCTTTTCCACACAGAGATGAACATGACCATCTTTTCTAGAACTGTGAAACAAATTAAGTGTGTGAACCAAGGTATTGCTGTATTATGAACAGGCATGTAAATAAATTTCCCAATGGACAAGTGTCTTGAAGGATATATATTCTCAGAATGTATGTGATAGAAATACATGACATTGTCTTATTAACATAAATGGAAACCTTACTACAAAGAAAACTTCAGTCTCAGATGCATCAAATAAAATATCCAAGGCAATGAAGTTGGAATGGGTAGTCTTTTCAATTTACTTTTCAAAAAAAGTAAATAAAAATAAAGAGCTTGTATCCTTACCTTGTATCATATTACATAGTTAATTGAAAATGGATCCTAGGATTAAAGGGAACCTAAACCAGAAAGTTCAGAACAAAATAAAATATAGGAGAAAATTTTATAAACTTAGATTAGGAAAAATTTCTTAACCTATGACACCAAAAATGAGATTACTAAAAGAACTGATGGATAAAGTAGGTCCACAATGTTGAAAATGCTCCAGAAGGCAAAAGAAAACACATGCTTAGTTATAAGGGAGACAGTGTGTAGGGCAAGACAAGGCAAAGGGTGATTGGATTGTGGAAATTGGGAATTGATACCTGCCAGCTAAGATGAAATGGAAATAGTAGTAATTTATTAACTGGAAGATACTGTTGATAAATTTCTGTAATCTGGCAGAACTATCAAATGAAATAGTACATAGATGTTTGAATTTTTAGACCCAACTATTTCTAAATATAACATTGTATTAAATAATTAAAAATTTATGATTTTAATAGTAATCGTTTGTTGAAAATTTTTAAATATGTAGAAAGTTTTGCAGATATGAAAAGATAATCCTTAATCCCACTATGGAGAACCATTATTAGTAGTAGCATTCTTCATTTATTGTCATTTTTTAACCTATATGAATATGTTTTTAATAACAGAATATCATCCTGTATACTCAGTTTTGTGTCTCGCTTTCCTTCAATAGCAAATGAGCTGAGCATATTTTCATATCATTTAATATTCTTTAAATACATAACTTTAGCAAGTAGAGATTTAACATTTTTATGAATAAAATTTCCCTAAGAAGTAATTAAATAGATTAAGTTTTTGGGATAGCAAAAAAATCACTTTCATTACTATTTCTAATATCTTGGGCATAATATTTTTTTCTTCTACATTGTCAACTAGCTAAACCATAGAATTGTTTCAGCAACTTGATAGAGGCAGATGTAATGATTTTGATCACTACCTTCATTCTCAAGATAATCTAAAAACCTCTAAGTAATTCTAATAAGTGAGTTTTAGGATTGAGGAGAAAACAAAACAAGTTAGTATAAAAATTTGGTCACAGACTTTGTCATAAAAAATAATGAATGTTTCAAATTTAAATTCTCTAGAAATCGCAGCTTCACTTTCATGTCATCCCTTTTTTCAGTCTGCTTAATTTCTTCATGGTATACTTACTCATAAATTTTCTATCTACAGAAATCGTGAGGTCCTGGAAAATGTATTAGCTGTCATCCTGGCTATTCTTGTGGCTTTTTTGGGATCCATTCTTCTCATCCAAGGCTTCTTCAGAGACATTTGGGTCTTCCAGTTCTGCCTGGTCATAGCCAGCTGTCAGTACTCATTACTGAAGGTACTAGCCTCTCTTTTCTCATGTTGTGAGCTAAAATTTGTGTTAAAAGCCAGAAGTTTGTGTACCATGCATTGAATAATAAGATAATTTTTAGATTAATTTTCCTTGGATGTTTAGATTAGAGAACAAAATAGAGATATAAACTTTAAAAAATAGTAAATTAAGTTTCATAAAAATGATTTCTTTGTAATTAAAATTTTTTAAAAATTATAATGTCTTCTTAAAATTTGTTTCTTTTTGATTAACATTCTCTTTCTTACTCTTATCCGTTGTTTCCTATGAATGAAATTTATTAAAATCTGTCATTAGTAGATAAAGTATCAAAATCTTTTGTTATTTGGAACATCAAAGAAGCTTGGTGTCACATTGTTACTTTTTAAATAGTGCTCATGCATACCAGTTGCTGTCAATTTTAAGCTTTAAACAATGGGATAATCAAATACTCCGAGGTATAGTACAACAAAATTTTAACCTTCTGTTTAAAATAGGTGTGGACTATTAATATGAACTATTTCCTGTCTTTGGTTATTTGCCTTGTACATGTTAGTGTGGAGAACCCTTTACTAGACTGGTCACTGTTTAGGTGTATTCTCTCAGTTGTCTTTTTTTTTTTTTTTCTGTTTGCCTTTATAAGTAGAATAAGCCAGCTGTAGTCATCTATGTTATGTAGGTCATTGGTTCCATTTCTTTAAAACCTGTCTACATTTGCTTTCCTCATTGCTCTACTGAAATTACAACCTTTGTTTTTTGTTGTTGTTGTTTGTTTTTATTTTTGTTTTTGGTACTGGGGATCAAATTCCCAACCTCGTGCTTCCCAGGCAGGCGCTTACACCACTGAGCTGAATCCCAGCCCTTTTGGTTATTAATAGTCACTTTGATTGCTAATTGTAGGCCCTCTGTCACCATGTTTTGTGTGAGTGGCATGTCATTTAATACCTGTTCATACCTTCTTCCATGTCCGTGTACTGCTCACTGCTGCTCTATGACTGTACACAAGCCCAGTGATTCTCAGAAGCTGCAGATAACACTTTGCCTTTGCTGATGCCTTTTTGTTCCTTCAACCACTTCTTGAGAATTCTGTAGGGTTTTATTTGACCCTTGTCTCACTTTATAGCACCTTGTCCTTGAAGTCTCATCCCTTTTTATTACTTTATTTGTTGCCCCTTCACATGAGTTGTCAGATTTATAGCTCAGAATCTTTACCTTTCTCACAAGCTTTAATAGAAAGTAACACATTATCATCTTGTAATTATTTTTTTCTTTTCCCAGTTCTTTGATTTTGACAGTGATAGATCAATTCAAAATCCTGATCTTATACTTCATCCTTGATAACAAATACCAAGTCCCTTTCATTACACTTGATGGTTCTATGTTAAAATCATTAGTCTTCATTCTTATCTTTATTTTCTTTTTAACAATTTTTAAAATTTAATTTAATTTTGTGTTTGTTTTTTGTGGTGCTGGGGATCAAAACAACCTCCTGCATGCCAGGCCAGAATTATATTTATTCTTGGTTTTTATTTCAACCACTTTAATCTATCCCTGTATGGCCTTAAGTCATTTAAATTCATTCCCTTCCTCTAGTGTCTCTTATCCCATTAATTTACTCCACTACTTTCAAGCTAATATGGTTAAATAGCTGAGCATGGTGTCAAACATGTGTAATCCCAGCCCTCAGGAGCTGGACCTTCAAGGCCAAGCTGGGCTACAAAGTAAGTTCAGGCACAACCTGAACTATATAGCAAGACCCTGTCTCAAAAAACAAAGCAGAGCAAAACCAAAAGGTTAAATAAGGAACACCTGACAGATTATTTTAAGGTAGTTGACTGGGGAATAGTAATGTCATAAACAGAAATGCAAAAGGCAGAGCAAAAAAGGTTTCAGAAGCCAGGTGTTGAGGTTGAAACTGAACATATATCCATCCTAGGGCCAAATGCCAAATTCAGTGAAATTGATCCCGTGTTGAAAAGTAGAGTGATGAAAGACTAGCCTGGTGAAATTGTTCTGTAAATGATTGGGAGGGGAAAGTGAAGTGGAGTTTGGAAGAAAAGTTAAGATTAGAGAAATACCTATGTAATAGTGCTACAACAGTTTGATAAGAAGTTAATAGTCTCTTACAGGATAAGAGCTGAACCGCCTTATTTGGATGTGCAAATGTATATATGATAAATGTAGATACCACTGAGTTGTTTACTAAGTTTGGAATCTACAGCAGAACAAGAATTCTTACAAGCAAAGCTGTGTTAATTATGCATTTCCTCAGTAGAGAGATGTTCCATAAGAAAGAATTCTATATTAGCTATACTTACATGTACTAATGAGCTACAAAGTAAGATGAATTTATCTGCTATATATCATTTCAAAAGCATTAACCTAGATAGGTGCAAATTGTGAACCAAACAGAATAAGTTTTAGGGGAAATGTAGGGGTTTTGTTTTCATTTTTTATTTTTTGGTCTTTTTGAGACAGGGTCTCACTATGCAGTTCATGCTGGCCTTTTAAGCTCACTTTGTAGCCCAGGCTGGTCTTGAATTCGCAACGATCTTCCTATCTCAGCCTCCTGAGTGCTGGGATTAGATATGTGTGACACCATGCCTGGCTAACTTGAGAATTTTTTTAATACTACAGTGGCATCAGTGGCTACAGCTGAATTTTCATCTTTGAAACAGAATTATTGTAGATCAGCTCTTAACCATGGGATGCTTACTTGAAATCATTTCTGGCATTTTGAAAATTGTTTATAAAATTACCAGTACTTCAGTAGTGTAATCTATCTTTCTGTTTTATTTTTAGAGTGTTCAGCCAGATTCTTCTTCTCCTAGACATGTAAGTTGCTCCTCATGGCTGTAACTCATAGTTTATTAACATTTATCAAAACTCCCCACCCGCATCACTGCCATACGTCAGACAGACTTAATATTTGTTATTATTTTCTCATCTAAGTTTTGACACACTGTATAGGTGATTGATTAGCATGCCATAAAATGACATTATACTGGTAGACTAAACCTTAACTGAAATGAGCATAGTAATTCATTTTTTGGCAGCCTATTTCAAGAAGTTATCAGTGTAGACATGGTTCATGTAAGCTCATGACTTGATTATTTGCAATTAATAAATTTTAAAGACATATTAACAAATAGAATTTTAAAGAGAAAAAACTATATGTTTTTTTGATAGTCATTGGAAGCAGAATAAAGAAGTGTGTAATACATGATATTAAAACCTTTGGGTTAGTGAAATGAAAAACCTTGTTATTTACTTTGTGACTATACAAAAATACCTGCTTACCAGTATTTATATGACATGTGACATCTGGTTTTAGATGTAGCCTGGATATTTAATAGAAATTATCTTTAAAATAGTTCATAAGTAATTTCTTATTCATATACTAGGATGACTAATAGCAATAAATGATCAAAGTAAAAGGAAAAATGGTTCTTTTGACTGATTATGTTTATTATTTTGTAAGAATATTTTTAGAGAATAATGATAGATAAAAGTATTGCTTTTTAACTTTTTGCTGTAATTTCAAGCTTAGAGAAAGTTGTGAGGATAGTAAAAAAAAGTTCTGAAACTATTCACCAGAGAGCCTTTTGCTGCATTTTCCTTATCCTTTTATGACAGATGATCTCTTTTCTCTGTCTTCTCCCTTTCCTTTCTCTTCTTGCAGACATGATGCCCTTTTACTTTTGAATAATTCACTGCATGTTTTCTAGAGGCATTTTTACATTATTTCAATGTAACCATCAAAGTTAGGGTGTTAACACTGATACAGTGCCATTTTCTAATCTACATATCTTCCTTAGTTTTTGCCTGTTGTCTCAGTTGGCAGTAGTAGAAAGCTCTCCATTAAGTATTTTCACTCTTAAATCTCTCTTAATTTTAAGCAATTCTTGAGTATTTTGTTTTAATGATGTTGAAAATTTTGATAGCTATTAGCCAGTTTATAGACTGTCCCACAATTTGACTTTGATTAGATACAGGCTTTATATTGGAAGGAGTACTACTACAAAAGTATGTGTTGTTTGTAGTGTATCATCACAAACATGATGTTGATTTGCCCTCTTAATAGTGACACTAACTGATTAGTTCTTCTCAAGTCTGCATTACTGACATTGGGGCATAGGCAATTCTTTGTTGAGGTGAAGCAGGGGCACTGTTCTGTTCATTGTAGACTCCTTTGTAACTTCTCCCCTTCTGATGTGAGCAGTACCTGTACACAGTTGTGGTAATCAAAATGTGTGCAGCATTGCCAAATGCCCCAAAGTCAGGCCGCTACCCACTCCCCTCAGGACTGTTACTCTACTGCTATGCTACTGTTTTTCTCTTGTGTTTCGTATCTCATTGGGAGAGGTGTTGAGATCATCTACAAGCTTTGCTGTTCCACAAACTTCTGCCTACTGGTTTTAGTATGTACTGATGTTTCTTGCCTGAATCAGTTATTATTTGATGGTTGCCAGATTGTGATTATCTAATTTCATCATTCTTAAGTCACTACTATGTAACTATTATTTGTTTCGATGTTCAAATTGCCTGTGATTTGGCCATTGGAAATTCATAAAGCTGCTTTCTGTGTCCTTTGAACATGTTCCTGTTGTTCTTTAATTACTTCTTTTTTGTAATAACATGTTCCAAGTTAATGTTAACAGTTTTCCTACCCTAACCCTAATCCAACCTCTCCTTTAGGAAACCTTGGTTGTTTTTTCATAAGTACTGTTATTGTAAACTACAATTTAGATGTTTGTAATCTTTATCGCTAGACTGTCATGGCTCCCGGGTCATCTTAGTAGATGAAGATTGGACATATATACATGTACATACATACATGCAAGTATACACATGTATTCCTATATCAGCTTGTGTGTGTGTGTGTATATATATATATATATATATAAATGAATTCATACTGACACCTCTAATTTTAATCCAATTTCAGAGTATTCATTCTTTCCTTTTATTTTCTAAATATTTTTATTCCCTTCTGTAACATCCAAAATCTGGCTCCAACATGTAAATGATTTGCATCCTGAAAATCTAAGCCATCAGTGATCTCAACAGCTAATGTGACTCTTAAAATTTAACTAAACTGATTCTTTAAAAATGTATCATTTGCAGGGTCATAATCGTATCATTGCCTACAGTAGACCAGTTTACTTCTGTTTATGTTGTGGTCTTATTTGGCTATTGGACTATGGTAGCAGAAATCTTACTACGACTAAGTTCAAATTATATGGAATAACTTTCACCAATCCACTGGTGTTTATATCAGCCAGAGATTTAGTTATAGGTGAGTCATCTTTAAAGTATTTCTGATCTTAACATTGATTTGTTTATTTTCAGACAGTTCAATAAATCAAGTATATATGTCAAAATAATTTAATAAGCTTAGTTTGCTTTTTGATACCACCCTCTAGGGAAGAAAACTGTAGAGCCATTTTGAGTGAAGAAGCCAATAATGAACAAATATTTTAGTAATTCTTTTTTTCTTAAAGAAGATGCAATGGAAATTTTTTAAAAATTCTGTAATTTAGGTTCATTTTATGTGAAAATGATTGAAATAATTTTAAAAGGTGTTTATAGCTGAAAGATAGTAGTCAGTTATACAGCAATGATTTTATATTTTGTCTTAAAAATTGCTTAGTAGTTTAAATTTGAATTTTTCTCATTATTTATGATCGTTAAATGAAATAAAAGGAGAAATATGATATATTTTTTAATGTATTCTTCTTTCCTTCTATAGTGTTTACACTCTGTTTCCCAATAGTATTTTTCATTGGTCTCCTGCCTCAGGTGAACACATTTGTAATGTATCTTTGTGAACAATTGGATATTCATATCTTTGGTGGTAATGGTGAGTACTTTTTTATAAACATTATATTATCAACTTTTGTAGTTTATGAAGTAATAAATTAAATATTTAAATATTTTTCCCATTTTCATTTTAAAATTAAGAATATACAAAGGACACATTTAAAAATTAAAGGCTGAAAAGCAATTAATTTGTTGAAAGGAGAAATTAGTCAAGGCTGCAACTTTAGTGAAAGAGCTAGGAATAATGGAGTTGATATGTAAGAAGTAATAAAGTAGTATCTGAAAGTTATATGTACAGTTGTTTCCACTTAAACAGGAGTGATGTATTCTAAGACCCTCTGTGAATACCACAGAATAAAACCTCATATATCCTGTCTTTTCCTATCCTGTACATACACATGCCTATGATAAAATTTAATGTATAACCTGGACACAGTAAGAGATTAACAACAATTTGTTAATCAACAAATTAACAAATTTCTTTTTCTTTCTTTTCTTGTTTTGGTTTGTTTGTTTGTTTGTTTAAGATAGGGTCTTGCCGAGCAGTTCAGACTGGCTTTGAACTCACTTTGCAGCCCAGGCTGGTCTTGAACCTGAAATGCTCCTTCTGCCTCAGCCTCCTGAGTGCTAGGATGACAGGCTGTGTGCCACCATGCCTAGCTAAGATAGAACAATTTCAATAATATGCTATATAAAAGTTATATGAATGTGACTGGTATCTTTGTTTCTCAGAAATTTTCTCACTTTTTTGGACTATACTTGACCACTGAAATTTAAGTATGAAACTGCAGATATGGGGATAACTACTGCAGAGAGTTTACGTGGAATCAGTATATAAACTTAGGATAGCTTTGTAAAAGATCTATTTCAAATTGAGGTCTGATGCATAGCACTGTATTTGGATTTCAAAGTGATATTTTCCTTTTATACATCCATATTTTTGGTTTCAGAGCTTGATTTTATGTTTTGAATAGAAAACAAAACAAGAATCTAAAAATATTTTTCTTACTAAATAAGCTTTTAAGAAATATTTTTGATTTTTAGAGTAGAATGTGTGGCTATAACTTGATAACTCAGGAAATCTATTCCCCTATCATATGTTTATTTTGTTTTAAAAAAAAAAAAACAACCATACCAGTATTACTTTAGAATAGACAGTGATATGCAGAACTTTATTTACATCTACTATGGTTTACTACTGTGTACTCTAACTGTTTAACATTTTACTAAGAGAGGAATGTACAACTACAGAAATACTTGAAAAGGAAGGAAAATGCTGTAACTTTATATAGTTCATTGTTTCTTCACACTTCATTATTTTCCAAGTGTTGTATGTGCATTAAAATCCTTTTTCTTTATAAAATGTTGATATTTATGGCTTAAGTTTTAGATAGCATCTAAACTTGTTTATGTTGCCATGTACTATACTATTTTAAACATTTTTTGGAGACATATTTAAAATTGAGCATATAATCAACCAGCATAGCTTAGTAAATAAAAGATAATTCTAGTATGTAGGGACTGTTAGCAGTGTTATATTTAAATAGTGTGGTAAGGACTTGGTAATTTATAAGAGTCATATTATTTACAGACTTGCACAGGATATTATGTTCTTAATCTGTCATAAAGAAAATTTTTCTATTTCTTTTATGATCACAATATAAATTAAAGAAAATCTGTTGTACATATTTTAAAAATAAAGTCTAGCCATCTTTACCATCTTTTTTTTTTTCTTATCAGCAATCCCATTGGATCTCATTGCTGCTGTTGTTGTTATTGTTAGTGGTCAGATAGGAATTTTTTTGATGAGAATACATGGAAATACAAACATTTCTGTGGGTAACATAAATGTTTTTACACAGACTAATACCTCAGTAATTAATACATCTGCAAACCAAGTTTCACAGTACTTTTTATTATTATAAAATGCTTTGAAGGATATCATTGATATTTTTCTGCTATGAGATGAATATATTTTATATCAAAGGTTATATCAAAAGGTTTGGTATGTCAAAGTTTTTGGCAAGTACAAGGTAAAATAACAGTGTTGAGATGTCAAACAAGTGTTCTTAATTATGGTTAACATAATATTTTGAATGCTTTTTTGTGACCTTTTAATTTTTTTGCATAGATGTTTATAAAATATCTTTCTTCCTTTACTGTCTAGCCACTACAAGCCTGCTTGCAGCACTTTACAGTTTTATCTGTAGTATTGTGGCAGTAGCCTTATTGTATGGATTGTGTTATGGAGCTTTAAAGGTGAGCAATAAATTGTAATATGTTTTGTTTTTAAGGTTACATTTCGATATGATAATTGTTTTAAATTGACTAATAATGTTTTTTCCCTAGTGCTCTTTTATCAGTTTTCATTTCTTCATATGTTGGACATCATTCATATTTTCATTTACTTTGAATTTGAAAGTAATTTAAACCTACTGCTTCTCACATGTAAGGCAGGTGCTCTACCACTGAGCTGTGTTCGCAGCCCTGAAAGCATTTATAGTTAACCATTATTAAAAGAACATTCTTTTGCATATAATAATCATAAGTTGGCATTAGAAATGTTATAAAAAAAACTAGTGTTGTCTGAAGTAGGGCTGTGCATAGTAGTCATAGAATATGAAATTAAATTTAGTTTCTAGTTAAGAACTTATATACTTGGGGCTGGGGATTTAGCTCAGCAGCATAAGCACCTGCCTGCAAGCAGGTAGTCGTGAGTTTGATCCCCAGTACCGATAAAAAGTTAAAAAAAAAAAGAACTTACGTACTAATACTTTTCATATAAAGGCATTTAAACTTTTAAGAATAAGTTTAAGGGCTGCAATTCAAGGTATATGCTACAAAAATTAATATGCTAAACTTTAGTGGCATTTTTGGGTTAGAAGAATCTAGATTAGCCCTATGAGCTCCCTTTTAAAATATTGTCACCAAGACATAAACCTAAAAATTTTACAGTTTTTAATAAACAGTTGACAATCTCTCACACATATTTGGAATGAATTTTTTTGTTTTTCTTCTTAACAGTTAATATAAAGCATGGGAGGGTTGAAAAGCCTACCAAAAAAGTGACCCACAGCATCCATCTTCACTACATTCAGTAGCATTTGTAGAGTAGTTACAAAGTGTGGCAAGACTATGTGACTGCCATTTGACCCAGCTATCCCCCTGCTAGGTATCTTCTCAGAAGAGTTAAAATCTTCATATAACAGAGATACAAACATACCTATGTTTGTAGCATCATAATTTATAGTAGCAAAATCAGTTTGTCCATCAGTAGATGAATAGATAAAGAAAAATGTCTTATTTATACACAATGGAGTACTGCTACTCTGCCATAAGGAAAGATAAACTTGAGACATTGGCAGGCAAATGGAAACTACAGTATTAACAACTTGAAACTATACTAAGTGAAATAAATCAGACATACAAGCTTAAATATTGCATGGTTTCTTTTATATCAGATAGTATGTATGTATGTACACACATACGTACGAGTGTGTGAGAACAAAATAGCAGATAATAGGAAGTAGGAAGAAGTTGAAATAATTGCCCAAATTGTGTCCTGCATTCTTCCAAAAATATTTTAAAATATATGCAAAATTTTAAATTTATACTTCTAGTTTTTTCAAAACTTTTCAGAAACTGTTGTCTTTTTGTTTCTTCTTTATAAAAGAATCTGTGCTGGGATTACAGGCATGAGCCACCACGCCTGGCTTGGCCATTCTTTTAAGATCATCATATACAGTGTAATAACTTGTTACTCTCTATCTTGTTACGGAATTTCATTTTATTTTTTTCATAGAACAGTGCTTTTTATATTTTCTTTATTCATACCTACTTCTATTATGTTAAAATTCTAAAAAGACCATTTTCCAGGAGATGATGTTAACAAATTTTTAAGGACAAATAGGAATTAGCTAGTTGAAACAAAGGATGAAAAGCCATGGAGTTGGGAAGAAAATATATTATGAAGAGGAAATAGTAACTAATTTTAAATTACTGAGATTTCAGTATTTGAGAAAAGAGTGTGTGCCCTCAGTAAAGTTGGAAGGGTAAACAAGGGCTGGATTTTGAAATATCTTTTATCCTGAATGTTTGTGTGATCACTGACAATGTGTTTGAGGTAGAAATGAAATGATCATAGTGGCATTCTACAGGTTAATTGTCTCTAGGATTTGGGAAATTGAAGTCTAAGCAGGAGAGATCAAATAGAAAGAGACAGTTGAGTCCTAACCTTGAAATTATGAGGGAATTCACTAAAGCTGGATTCTGTGAATATATTTGAGGATATTAGGATAAAGAGAATAATCAGAATAGGATCCAGTATGATTTCTGGGTAGAATCTGGCTTGAATTACTGGATAGTGACACTACTGCACAAGAATGGGAACACTGGAGTTTGATATGAAAGGGGATTGTTTACATATAGACTCTTCTATTTTTGATACTTACAGGGAATCTAGAATACACAGTAGGTATATACATGGGAAGAGATTTGAGGTAGAAATTATAGAATTAGATCTCATCAACAAAATTAGATACAAGAAAAAGATTGCTAATCTGGATTGACAAATGAAAATGGGTAAAAGCCCAAGAAATTTCAGTATTTAAATATTGGATAGAATAGGATCCCTACAAAAGAAGCTTCAAAGGCAAAAAAGAATTGGAAAAAATTTTTCATTGCATTTGGCAATCAACAAAAATGGTTTCTTTGGCATGTTGTGTAAGGGTGTCAAATTAGGTTAACCTTGCATAGATTAAAGAGCTATGTGTTTTCTTTATATATATTGCGAAAGCTTTTGCACATGAGGGCTCTTTCCTGGGTTTTGTTTTTTAAAAATTTGATGCTTGATTGCATTTAAAGGTAAGGAAAAAGAATCTGGAACTAAGCTCAAAAAGAACTGGAGACAATAAGATTCAATCCATGTTTCCCCCAAATGTACCACTTATCTACAGGGTTTGGATCTGTGTCTTGAGTCACATTTTGGAAAGTGAATTGTTATTTGAAGTTGCAGACATAGGAGTTAACGTGTACAGTATGTTGTTTAGCCCCGTTTACAAAGGTCTTCTCTACCATTATCATGTTTGATTGATTGACTGAGTTTTTGGTACCAGGAATCAAACTCGGGACCTCGTGCTTGCCAGGTAGACACTTACACCACTGCGCAGTATCTCTGGCCCCTCTGCTATTGTCATGTAGCAGAACAGTAGCAATTGTAGCACTGCTAGGTAGACTCTGATGTCTTAAGGTAACCTTTTCTTTCTTTTTGGGGCAAAGTATTTGCACTGAACAAGTTTAGTTTCAATCTAAAAAATGTACACATTCAGTTTTATACATATCCAGAGATTGTGTGTGGGGTTTTATTATAGAAGTGTATATAACAGTAAAAATCTGGAGGTGCCTTAATAGCTATTATTTGTGGTGGATGAAATTACAGGATAGCCATGTCTTTGTGACACCCAAAGCTGTGGACCAAAACCTCATGGTTCATTGAGGTTTTGGTCCATAATCAGTTGGCTCTAAGGCAGGGTGGGGCAGCAGTTCATGGCAGTGGAAGACAACAAAAGCAACAAAAGCAAGAGAGAAGGGCTGGGGTTAGCTCAAGTGGCATTGGGCCTGCCTGGCAGCTTCAAAATACTGAGTTTGATTTCTCGTGACCAAAATACATACATATGTACAAACAAACACACCAAAATAGAGCAAATCTCTTTCTGTCCTTTATATTGTATACAGGCTAACTTTCCTAGAGCAGGTGTAGCACTCACACCCTTAATCCTAGCATTGGGCCATGAATCATTCAAATTCTAGAAGCATGCCCCCATGACTGCATAAGGCTTTAGGGGAGACATCTGGACCCAAACAATAACACCATATGGTAGGATATTACACAGCAAAACCAAGATAGATAAACAAGACATAGTGGGTTTTTTTTTTTAAAGAAAAGATAAATGAATAAATATGCCCCCAAATTGTTGTTTTCTTTGTGCTCTTTTTAGAAACCAACACTTACACAAATTATTCTATGTAGGTAAATAGGATAATAATGGAAGGATGCACAGGAAATAGAAAATAGTGGTTCTTCTGGGTTGTGAATCATCAACAGACTTTATTGTTTTTTTATGTTTTGAAATGATTGTGGGAATTTGGATCAGTATGTAATAAGCCAAAAAAAACCCACTTAGATTTTGTCAATACTAAAGGCCTACTAATGTGGGTAAAACAAACCCATGTTTTAATATTTGGATTCTTGTTCAGCTTCCATAAATTGTTGAGTTTTTTCATAGTTGCTGTCTCATCCCCCACTTTTGAGTCATAGATCATTAAAAATAGTTTGTAATAGTTAACTCTTGGAAAGGCCCATCACCTGGGGAATGGATAAAAAGATATGGTATTTTTATATAATGGCATACTACTCAGCCATAAAGAACAGTAAGCTCAAGGCTTTTATACGTAAATGGATGCAACTAGAAATCATACTCCTAAGTGAAATGAATCAGACTTGTGTGTAAACACTGTTGTCTCATGAGTGTAAAAAGTTGAAAGAGTAAGATCCAAGTTACAGTAGATAAAATAGAAAGAAACTGCTCATAGGCAAATTATGTTGTTTGATCAGTCTTGCATGCCTGTATCTGGTAGCCAGAGCCATTACTTTAAGTATAACAATATGCAATAAAACAACCATTGTTAAATTCCTGTCTTGTTTTGAAATCCTGTATTGCCATTGTTGTTGTTGTGGTTATTGTTGTTGTCATTTTGCTTTTGCTGTTTTTTAATTGTTTGCTTGTTTGATTTTTGGGGGTTTTTTTCCCCCTCTTTAAAATAGAAAAAACACAGAGGGGTATGTTTTGTTTTGCTTTTTTTTCTAAGTTAGAAAATAGAGGTTATAGTTACTATCAATTTGTTTATATGTAATTTTTAAGTTAGGGAGGTATCTAATCAGGTTGTGCTGCTGTAACAAAGTACATGCTATAGATTTGCCTTACCTGTTCAGGAGTCTGGAGGTCAAAACTGTGAGGGCCTTCTTCCACACTGTGGACCAAAGGAGGACTAGAGAGCTTTCCTAATCCCAGCCATAGGGCTCCAGCCCCATGATGTTATTTCCTGTAAGAGTAACCACCTCCTAATCTTGTCACATCAGAGGTTAGAATCTCAACATAAATTTAAGGAACACAAACAACAGGAGGTGTTAAACATTTTCTTCGAATACATGATAATTCTGAATTTTTAATTTAGGTAGTTCTTTTAAGATAAATTTAAGGATGCTGTTTTGTCTGAGAACAGTAAGTAACGTCAAATATTGGTCAAATAAAGATGCTCTTTTGCTCCCTAAATATTGGTTTTATTGTAATTGGGGCACAGTCTATGTACAGTAAAATTCAAATATATTAAGTATAAAATTGCTAACTTGTGACAAACACATACCTTTGTCAATCTACATGCTATCAACATATAGAAGTTATATCATCCTTTCAGAAAATTCTTTCATATTCGTTATTTCTTTCATTTGTTCTTCCTTCCTTGTTCTTTTTCCTTCACCATAGATTACACTTACAATTCTTCAATGTCATAAAATGGGACTGTACTGTATATATTCTTTTGTGACTTGCTTTGTTCAATATGTTTTTCAGATTCATTCACTTTGTATCAGTGAATTGGTCTTTTTTACTGCAGAAAGTATTCATTTAATTTTAAATCTCTATTACTTCTTTATAAATATATTTATAGCTCATCTAGAGATGTACATTGGGTCATTTTTAATGTTTAGAGATAATATGAATAAGACTTCCCTGAATATTATTATGCAGGTTTGTTCGTTCTGTTTGGTTTTTAGTAAGCATGCATTTTTTTCTCTCTTCCAATGTTCCAAAGTGGTTGTACTGGACATCTTTTGTTTTTAGCTTTAATTTTTATCATTTATGCATGATTATATTTCAGAGTCAAATAGTTCTATAAGACTTTACCAAGACAACAAACAGTCTCTTATTCCTTTAGAATCTCCTTCCTTGGGGTTACTTTCAGCTGTTGATTGGTTCTTTTGGTAGTATCTCTGTGTCTTACTGTGGGTTTCTTTTCTTTCTTTCTTTTTTTTTTTTTTTTTTATGTTTTGGGCGTTATTATGGACTTACCTTTATGAAAAGTATAGGTAACTTTCTTTAGTTCTACTCCAAGCCTTCTTCCCACACACAGCCTCTCTTGACTCCTTCATATGCCTAAAATGTTTACCTTGTTACCACTATGCAAATGCTGTTTCTACACTTGGTTTTCTTCATTGCTATCTTAGGCATTAATCTGTCATTCTCAAAACTCTTCAAATATTGTTTAACTTGCTTCTTAGTACATAGAAACATACTAGAAGTTCAGTTTATGACTCCACCACTTCACCAGGCAAACTACTTAAATCTTCTGTGCCTTACTTTACTCACCTGCAAGTTGGAAATAATTGTGTGTGTTTTAAAGTGTTATTGTAATAATTACAGTAAGTCTCTGACTTACGAACAAGCTACTTTCTGGGAGGATTGTTCATTCGAAGTTAAATTTGTTTGTAAGCTGACAATGAGTTTTATACAGTATACCTGTAAAAGTGCAACTCAAATGTTCGTAAGTCAGGATTTACTGTTCTCAAGAAATACAAAGATCTAAAGTGGGACTCTACATATAATAATATGATACGGTTGTGTTTTAGCCTTTACAAAAATATGTGTGTTTTAAAATGTGCAACAGTTTCTAAGACTTATGTTCGAGGAGGGAAAAAAAGACAAACCATATGAAAAATCTGCCATTTGGTTCCCTACACCTGCCATTTTTCATTCCAACACACCTGCAAATGATGAAGGATTAGAGTGGTGTCCACCACATCGGAGAGAAATATCTGTTAACTATTCATGGAAGTGGTGTTGTCTACTTTATGCCAGCTGTCGTAGAAATAGACCTGAGATACTGCAGTGAACATACCCACATGGCAGGTGCACATGTTCGGTTGACCTTAGAAACTTATCCTTACATAGTTAATTGTTTTAGGAAATAGTTTGCTGCAGGTTGCTAAGTGCTCTGAAAGATATAATGATACATTACACAATGAGAAGTATGAAGAGACTCCAAATGTCCAGGTTTTCTTTAATGTATTGTTACGTATTGCCCTCCTTTTCACTCTGTTATTATGTATAATAACTTTATCAAGTTAATTTCATTCTTCCAAAAAAATATAGTTTACTGTAATACTGCCTAAAACATGGAAGAGTTGATAGCTGCATGCAAAGAAGCAAATTATTCCCAATAAATGAATGGTTTTAATAAGAAAAACCTGAAGTTTTATACTAAAAGAAAATAGGCAGCTGGATTCTAATTCAACAGTAGCAAATACATCCAAGTTTATTTGGAATAAAGTGCAGTTAATTATATAGTTAAGCATTTTTTAAAAATGTAAATCCACTGATTCCAAAATACTGACATAAATGGATGGTGTGATAGATTAGAAATTAAAAGCATATTGTTCTTTTAAATGCTTTTATTTTTTTAACAGGATTCGTGGGATGGTCAGCATATTCCAGTACTTTTCTCTGTGTTTTGTGGCTTGTTAGTGGCAGTATCCTATCATCTCAGCCGACAAAGCAGTGATCCATCTGTACTTTTGTAAGTGAAATAAATGTGTTATTATTAAAGAGATTTAATAACAGTAATTTTTAATTGGCATTTCTTACAAATAGTTTCTAAGACCTTTTTTTCTTGAGTCGTTCTTACCAAGTTGCTGGAGAGTCTTTTTCTTTCTTGTAAGTATTAAAATCATACTTTAATAAAAAAGTATTTTTATTATACATTTTTGGTACCTTTAGCTTTCAGAATTTTTAGAATTTGTAATTTCCTAATGATTTAATATATTTCATTCCATTTTTTTCTGTCATAAACTTTGCCATTTGAATTACTGGTTTTTAGGTTATGTACACATTTTTATTAATTATTTTCTCCATTTTTTTAAAATATAAAAGTTCTTTGGTGCAATCCAAGATTTTTCCAAAAGCAGAAGAGAAAAATCCAGAAGATCCTCTATCTGAAGTAAAAGACCCACTGCCTGAAAAACTTAGAAATTCTGTTGTAAGTGTTAACTTTTAAAATCACCTCCAGGGTTTAAATTTTAGATGGTTGATCAAGTTATACAATGAAGAATTTTTCAGTGTCTTTAGTAATTGAGAAAGTGTAAAGTTATAGTGAATAGAGTTAGTTGTATATTGCTGTTGGCCTTTTCTCAAAATTTTATCATAAAGATTGAACATCCTTAACCCAAATATCTAAAGTGCTCTAAAATCCAGAACTTTTTTGGAACCAACATGGTATCACAGTGGAAAATTCCACACTTGATATTATATGTTATAGTCAAACCATAGGGGCACTAAAAATAGTATGTAAAATTACCTTCAAGCTATGTCTGTAGGTATATATGAAGCATGAATAAATTTTGTTTTTAGGCTTGGGTCCTATCCCTGAGGTGTCCTATCCCTGAGTATATACAGCAGTCACCTGTTATCCAGCCTAGGACCCCCTGAAGGTCCTTCCCTGAGTATACATAATAATTCCAAAATGTGGGAAAAAATCCGAAACACTTTGGGTACTAAGCATTTTAGATAAAAGATACTTAATCTCTGTAGGAAATGTTCATTCCTCCGACTTATTTTCTGTTTAGAACAATACATCAAACTCTTTCGGCTTAATTGAAGTAATTTCATTGGTCACAGAATTTTTTTGTCCTGGTCAGGTTAGACTAAGATCTTAAAGATGAATAATAGTTTCTCTTCATCCTGTTTCAGTACCCTCAGTTTTATTATTATTATTATTTTGTCTTTTTCCTTTTTATCGGTATCAGGGATCGAACTCACAACTGCCTGCTTGCAAGGCAGGCGCTTATGCCGCTGAGCTAAATCCCCAGCCCAGTACCCTCAGTTTTAATTGTAGTCACCCCTAATTAATCACAGTCTGAAAATATTAAGCAAAAAATTTCAGTAATAAAAAATGCATAAATTTCAAATAGTACACCATTCTGAGTAGGAAGCAAGATGAAATTTTATACTATCCCGCCCAAGTTCAGAATCATCCCTTCACCAACATACCTAATACTGTATGTCCTCCTATTAGGTAGTCAGTGATCAGTGTAGTGGATATTAGGTGTTAAGGCTAGGTGCTATCTGCAACTTCAGGGAAGTGTTGATGGTCTTGGAACATACCACCTATGGATAAGAGATGACTGCTGTATTAACAAATTAGATTTGGTTTGTTACTATTTGTGTTGTTTTAAAAAAAATTGGAAGTTGTGTTCTAGTGTTTTATTTCTCATGGACTGTCTGAAAACTTTTCCAATATGAAGGACAGAACAATAACCAAAACTAACTTAATGTAATAAATAAATACAGTAATTCTTTTAAGTTTCTAATTTAGTAAATGATAAAATTCTTTTAATATTTATTTGTGTATTCTTTTAGTATTTACTTGAAAAATGAATTCTGTAGATTCATATTTATTTTATGAAGCAAAATATAAAACATTGTTGCTTTATTTTAGATTATTTCCATTTATGAAAGACTTCTTGAGTTGCACATAATATTTATTTGCAGTGGACATGAATTGTTCATGTATTCTTTAGAAAACTTTAAAGATGCAAAATTGCCGTGAGATAAAATTGAAGTAAAAAAGTCTTTTCTGACTAGTTTTCATGTTAAGTATACTAGAATACTCGAATCTAAAGTATTTATGTATATAAATCTAATCAGTGATGGCTAAGATTTTCAAGAGATGTCTGGCTTTTACTACAAGTTAAGCATTCCTAATCTGAAATGCTAAATTTAAAATGCCCCCCAAAGTGACATTTTTAATTTAGAACATTTTGGGTTTCAGGTTTTCCCTTTAGACATTCTCAACTAGTAAAGTCTATGCAATTGTATTTCAAACTCCAAAAAACTGAAATCTGAACTACTGGCCCCAGTCATTTCAGAAAAGGTACTCAACCTGTGTAGGCACTGAAAGAATCAAACCCCACTAAGTAAAACAGGACAAATACATGCAATTTAAATGTTTTAAAAGACCAATGAAAATATAACTTAGAGATATGCACTATGAGTGATCTGGTAACTTAAGAACTTTATGTTCTTTTACTCTGTGCATAAGTGGTGGGGAAAACCTTCATCCTAAAAAATGCATACTGCATAGTGAGACCCTATCTCAAAAAAAAAAAAAAAAAAAAAAGGGACCACCAATATGTTTATAATATGCAAGATTAGATTTGTTTAATTCCCTTGGCATTATAGTGCCAAACCAAAAATACGAAGATGTTGATGAAGAAAATAAGATTTATTGTATTTATTATATGTAATAAATACCTAAATACATTGAAGAGTATGAGTTAAAAATTACTTTTTAAATTTTTCCAATTGAAAAATAAAGATTTTTTAAAAATTTTTTAATGTAATTGTTTAATAATTCTTTGTTTTGTTTTGTTTTTTTGTTCCACAGAGTGAGCGTTTACAGTCTGACCTAGTAGTATGCATTGTAATTGGTGTGCTGTATTTTGCTATTCATGTAAGCACAGTGTTCACGGTATTGCAAGTAAGGAACCATTTTTATTCGTTCAGTTAAGGAAAAATAACTTGGAATTCATCTCTGATTTGATTGTAGTGTTTGTTCATATCACTGAGTTGCATGACTTTTTATTTGTTTTAACAGTGAATATCCATTTTCTTGCAGTGTTTCTGAGTCATGGATCTAGGTGTAGCATAGCTAAATGGTCTATTTATGTGCAGCAATCTTGTAAGTTAATCATTTTTAGGCCCTAGTTATTGTGACTATTGGCTGGAGACCTCAGTTCCTCTCCATGTGACCCTCCCAGTGGGCTGCCTGAGTTTCCTCATGAAATGCCAGCTATTATCCCACAGAGATAGTGAGCCTCGAGAAAGCCCAAAACAAGCTACACTTCACTTTTATAATCTAATTTTGGAGATGACATATCACCACTGCTGCTATGTTCTGTTGGTCATATAGACTAGCCATGTTGTATAAAAAGGGAATGTACACAAATAGGTTCAAGTACCAGAATTATCGGACTGTTTCAAAGGCTGATTACCACAAGTCTGTCCTCTGGCCTCTATAATTCACATCCCTCCCTTATGTAAGATATACTTACTCTCTCCTGAAATCTCATTTCCATACAACTGGAAGCCTAGAACCTTACCATTTACATCAGGTTCAGGTATGGCTGAGCCTTTTCAAGAACGGTTCTTTCATCTGTGAGCCATGTAATTCCATGCTTAGAACTTTCAGTCTTTTGTGTAGATCTGTATTTCTCTAAGGTATTGTGTTTCTTCTCTCTGAAAGATTTTCTAGAACATTTCTTGTAGTGTGAAATATTTCTTACAGTGTGAATCTAGTTTCTTTCATCTTTTGTATTTCTGAGAAACTTTTATTTCACCATTGGTTTTGAAAAATACTTCACAGGGTATAAAATTCTAGAATGACAATTTTGGAGGAGGGGGATCATTTGGTATTTAAAGATTTGTTCTACTGCTTTTGTTTGCCATTGCCTCTGATGTGAAATTTGTGCTATCTTTATTCTTCCATAGACATTTTAGTTTTTTTTCCTACTTGTAGAATTCTGTTTTCATAACTGCTTTTGAATAGTTTAATTATGATGCACCTTCATGTGGCTTTGTTTTTGTGCTTGAGGTTCAGTGAGTTTGTAACTTGTGGAAAAATTTTGGATTGTTACTTCAGATATCTCCCTGCCCTCTGTCTTCTGCATGCTGACCCCTTCCCCTGCTCCTCTGCACCCTATCCTCACTGCCTCTTAGGCTCCAGTGACATGGAGCTTTGGCTTTCTGAGGTTGTTCCTTGGTATCTGATGTTTTTATTTTAATTCTTGTTTTCTTCTGTGTTTAATTTTAAATAGTGTCTATTAGTCTTTAATTCACTAATCTTTTCTTCTATGATTGTAATCTGTTATTAATTCCATCCAGTGTGTTATTTCAGGATTTATAATTTTTATCTTTAAAAGTTTATTTAGGTCTTTTTAACCGTCTTGTGCCTCTATTTAACTTTTTGAACATAAATCAGTTATAACCCTCTTAGTGTCCTTGTCTACTAATTTTAATATATGTATCATTTATGGATTGGTTCTGAATGACTTTCTTTTTAAAATCCTTCTCTGTGATTTATAGGTTTCTAATTCTTTGCACACATGGTGATTTTTGGTGCCAAACAATAAATTTTACTGTGTTAAGTTTTGGATAATTTTGTATTTCTAGAAATACTCTTCGACTTCATCCCAGGACAATTAAGTATTTATTAACAGCTCGATTTTTCAAGTCTTGTTTTTAAGAATTCTGAGGTGGGACTAAAGCCACACATAACTGAGCATTGCTATTCCTTACTGCAGAGCAGAGTGCCCTTTCAAGGTCTCTGTCCAGCACTCTGGGAATCTTGACTTTCCAGTGGAACTTGGAGAGTAGGCACTCTCCCTGTCCCAAGTGAATGTTGATGTGCTCCTCTCATCCTTGTGGTGGTGTTTTCCTGGACGTGTGTAGGTTCCTCACATCCGTCAGTTGGGAGCTTGCTCCATCTCCAGAGTTCTCCCCCTGTGCAGTTTTCTTTTTGGTGCACTCTGTCCTCTGGTGAAGAGTAGACACTCCTATTGCTAGATTTTCAACTTCATCTCTTTAGCTCAGAGTGCCCAGCCTTGTATAGGTACCATAGCCTGGAAACTCTCAGGCCAGTGCACTGGAGAACAGAATGCCAGCCTGTGTTGCCTTTCCTTGGGGCTGGGTTATTTCCACATACCTTGTCAGTCAGAAATCACTGAATCATACATTTTATTGTGGTTTGGTTGTTTAATTTGGAAGAGTAAGTCCCTGTTCCTCCATTTGGCCAGATAATTATTTAATTTCACTTAATATTTGAAGCAGTACTGAACTATGAGTTCTGGCCACTTACAGAAATAATGTCCAGTGAGCCTTTGGGTGCAGATGAATGCACTCAGACCCACTGAGTGCAGTGGGTCTGAGAAGTTCAAGAGTTTCTAAATTATCAGCCCTAATTTGAATTTTTGAAGAAATGATACTCCTTTGTCTCTTTTGTGAATTTAGTCAAACATAAGAATTCCCTTAAAGTACAAATAAAGTGGAATACCTTTTTTTCCTTATCCTGTCTAGCTCTTCTCTGACTGTAAATTTTTACTTAGCTTTTGTCCTTTATCTCTCCTCATTAGAACAATGTAATACATCACTGTGAAAGACACATAGAACACTTTTGGAGCAGAAAGCAGTACAACTCTGGTCACTCATTATATGGTGGTATGAAACAGCAAAGGAAGTAGTTAACATATTTTAAACATCTGTAATATAAAAGCAGTCACTATCCTTTGTGGCTGATTTAATCAGAAAGAAACTACATAGTAAAGAAACATTAGCTTCAAACAAATAGGTATTTCTTTAGTCAGGTGTGATGGTACATGCTTATAATCCAAGCCCTTAAGAGGCCAGCATGGCCTACATAGTGAGTTCATGGCCAGCCTGAACTATATAGAAGGACCCGCCTCAATAAATAAATAAGTAAAACTTTAAAAGTCTTAGATTGTTTTGTTTTGTTTTTTGAGACAGTGTAACCCAGGCTAGGAACTCTCAAGTTCCTTCTACCTCAGCCTCGGAGTGTTGGAATTATAGACATGCACCAACCACCACACCCAGCTGGTTCTTAGATTCTACATTTGAGTTGGATACTAGAAGTTCCACAGTGAGTCTCACAGTTGGTCCTAATTTTCTCAACCTTGTTTTTTTTTTTTTTTTAGCCTGCTCTCAAGTATGTGTTATATGCATTAGTTGGCTTCGTGGGGTTTGTAACCCACTATGTGCTGCCTCAAGTTAGGAAACAGCTACCGTGGCACTGTTTCTCTCATCCTTTGCTGAAGACAGCAGAGTATAATCAATATGAAGTTCGAAGTAAGTATACCTTTATTTTTATTGCTATGTTTTTTGTTTTGGGTTTTTTTTTCTCTTTATAATGCTGATATCTGAATTAAATAAAAATATCATCAGATAACACTTTGGCTTGTATTTCTTGGCCTTAGGTTTAAAGCTGTTATCAAACCAAATCTGTTGAAAGATGCCTTAATTTCAGCTGAGTTAAAAGGCCTTGTCAGTGTGCTACAAGGCTAGCTTTCCTTGGGAAAAACTGACTCCTTTCTTCCCTAAATTGTTATTTGCAGACCTGTCACTGTCGAATCCTCCTATATATGACTTGTTTTTCTATCTCTCCTCTCTATTTCATTTCCATATATAGGCAGCCCAAGCTGCTTAAGTCTTCTGTTTGAGGTATCTTTAACTAAAAGCATAGACAGAGATGGAAAGTCTTTGTTGTTATTTCTGCTAGAGGCACAGTATCTTACCAGAGTGAGATGGAGAGGTATAGTTTGACACACAGTTTCAGGAGTTGCAGCCCCTAGTCTGCAGGCTCCAGGGCAGAACAGCATGGTGGAAAGGCTTGGCGGAGGGCAGCTGGTCATCCTGTATCAGTCAGGAAGCAGAGAGTGAAGGGAGTAGCTGGGGAAGGAGATTCTGTACACCCTTTCAGGTCTCACTCCTGTGTCCCCACCACTTTTGACTAGACCTCCACCTTGAAATAGGACTTCAGTTACCATTCCTCAGTAGTCTAATCCAGTGAGCGTAGTGACCCCATGATTCATTCAGTCAGCTTCTAAAGTCTCACCGTTCAACACATGAGGCTTAAAAGGAGCCCTTAAAAGGAATATTCTAAATCTAAACTAACACAAAGTGACAGAAGTTAGAAAACATTTTGTAATTGCTATTATTGGTTCAGATTTGGAATAAAATCATAGTGATTCAAGAAGAGATAGGCCAGTGCATCTGACAAACTTTTTCCTCCCCACTGTAAACTTTCACTTTCTTTCCTGGGTAAGAATCCTGTTTGTTAGCCCCTTGACTCATATGCTTACTTTCTCATTTTGGAGAAATAGTAAAAATTCATACCTATGCCATGTATTATATACCAATGCTTAAATAAGCTAACTTTCTCTCCTCAGACTTTTTTGTCAGTTAATGAGTTGCTGTAAAGAGAATAAATTTCTCAATCGTTTGAAGATGAATTAACATTTTTAGAGAAATCCGAAGCCTTTGAAAGCTTTATGTTGCAAAGTCATCTATCTGTACATTCTCAAAGCAAGTTTCCTAGAACTTTTAGTGAAATTGGTTGAAGCATCAAGTCACTTTAATCTTGTCAGTTGGATCCTGAAGAGATAATTAAACAATAATGTGTATTTTGAACCAGTAGCAGGTGCAAACCTTTTCAAAGTATGTGCTCTTTTAATAAAGAAAATTACATAATATTTTGAGAATCAGTACTGGCCCATTCTCTGCTTTAGGAAAAGAGTGAGTTATTTTAAATAGAGAGCTATTAACATTCTATAAATAAATGATAATAAATCTAATTAACCATAAAGTTAACAGGTCTGTTTGTTTTTTGTTTTTTTGTTGTTGTTGTTGTTTTTGGTACTAGGGATTGAAATCTCTACTTCACGCTTGCCGGGCATGCGCTTAAGCCACTGAGCTAAATCGCCAGCCCCAAAGCAACTTTTTTATAGGATCAAACTCACAACTGCATTATGCCGCTGAGCTAAATCCCCAGCTTTTAAAATAAATAATCGTTTTTAAAGTAGTTTTTAAACGGTTTTTAAAATAAATAATTGGTCATATTATTTATCTTAGATCTTAAAAATAACTTAAGTTTTTACGAGTTTTGAACTACCATAACTTTTTTTTTTCCTCTTTGGTCTTTTTGAGACTGGGTCTCACTTACGCAGTTCACGCTGGCTTTGAGCTCACTTTGTAGCCCAGGCTGATCTCAAACTCACAGTGATCCTGCCTCCCAGGTGCTGGGATTATAGGCGTGTGTTACCACATCCAGCCACCATAACATATTTGAATTATTGAAAGTACTAAGTAGTAGAAAAGGTAATTTTTTTGTACTGATTTTGGCAATTGAAAGAGAAATACATTACCCTTGGAGAACTTTGTAAACACTTGGGAATAGTATTTTCACGTTGCCAAAGAACCATGTATTAAATCTTCAGGGTTATCTGAGATACTTTATTGGCAATGAAAATTTTTTAATGAAATATATGAAATCATATATATTTTCATATCTTTCCTGAAACATGTATGTATATACACACATTTTCAAAATCACTTAATCATCTATTTGGGGATTATGTTATACCCTAATAATCTTCAGTGACTTTTTTTCCATAAGATATTGGTATAAGTGACAAAAGTTAGTTTCAAAACTGAAGTTTCATAATTTAAAGTATACAGTGAAATTCATTTAAATGTAAGTTATAACCAAGGTGGAGATTCGTTTCAGAATTCACAGACGTCAATAACTAATTACAGTACTGGATATCTTACATTTTTGTTTATAGCATATTATAAAATTTGATCTGTAATGTTTCCTTTCTCATCACATTGTAAGACTACTTTATACATTAGGTGATACACTGTCTTTTTGAGTTATGTTGCCTTTTTAGATGCAGCCACTATGATGTGGTTTGAAAAACTTCATGTGTGGCTTCTTTTTGTGGAGAAGAATATCATCTATCCACTGGTCGTTCTCAATGAACTTAGTAGCAGTGCAGAGACAATTGCTAGTCCAAAGAAACTGGATACAGAGTAAGTACAGTAGTCAGTGGGAGTTGTTAAAAGCAATGTCTTAAGTTGTTGCTCAAGTTCCATACAAGCATTGAGTGTTTCTGTGGTACAAGATATACTAAGAAACTTAAAAATTTCAGGCAAAATACTATTTTTGACTTAATGTCTTTTGGGCATCCATTTGGCTTTTCACAAATTCACTACTGCAAACATCTCATTGTTAGCTGATACTTTGTGAGAAGACATCATTAAGTAAGGTTAACTTTTAGTATTGGATAGCAGGTTTGGGAGATGGCTATTTTTGTGTGTCTATCATGTGGGTCATGCCATGTGGCAGGTACTTGCCTATATTATTATCCTATAAGTCTACCTACTAATGGGTGTATATTGTGGAGTAAATGTTAAATATGTTTTTCATCTGCTAAGTACAATTAATATTAAAATGATAGAAATATTGAGAAGTTAGAGGATCAGATGTCACAATTACAATACTATTTATTTTAAAAACATGTTTAGTTACATAGATATAGCACAAATTATTGAAAGAGACTTTTGTACTAGTCAGATCTAGTTAGGATGTCATTTGCTTAACAATATAAATCATTTTTAGAAGTTTAAATTTGATCTCTATAATGGAAACTCAGTAAATAAAGTGGTGTTTTTTTTTTAGATCAGCAGATGTTCCATTGTTCATCACTTGATGAGTGGTGCTTTCTGTCTGTTACAGGTTAGGTGCTTTAATGATCACCATTGCTGGCTTAAAGTTGCTGCGATCATCTTTTAGCAGTCCTACATACCAGTATGTCACAGTCATCTTTACTGTGCTCTTTTTCAAATTTGACTATGAAGCTTTTTCAGAGACTATGTTATTGGACCTCTTTTTCATGTCCATACTGTTCAACAAGGTAATTTATCACTGAAAATAATATTTTTGTCTGCAAAACCTATTTCAATAATACACTACTAAGTAAAGATTATACTCATATTTTATTTAATTTATTATCTTTTTATTAGTATGCCTCTTCAATCAACCAGTTATTTGGAACATATTAGAACCCCTACTCAATGCTGTAATTCATAAAAGATACACTGTGTTCCTTTTGAGAGCTAAGATAAAAGTAAGCTATATAGGAAACTTAGAAAAGTATATATTTTTGAGTATGTAAGATGTTCCATAGAGAGTGTAGCTTTGAATAATTTTAAACATAGACGTTGTAATAGTTGAATTGGGCTCTGAGCTACTGGATAAATGCAACAAATTCAATTGTAAATTCACCTAATTAGCTAAATGTAGACAATAAAGACATGAAGAAGCAACCAAAGCCTAGATTGAAAGAATATTTTAAAATTCATAGAATGCTTACAAAATTCATGTGTGTTCTTACTCTCTTTAAAAACAAGATGGTAAGGCCTGAGTTTCTGCCTCTTGATGCCAAGATCATTTTGCTGAAGCACATTACCATTCTAAATTAAGTAGGTTGTATAGTCAGATTGTTTGTAACTTACCAATTAGATTTCATATTAACACTGAGCACATACAAAGGACTTTGACATATATTATCCCATTTGATAGGTAACAGAGAGCTGAAGCAAATGAACAGCTACAAAACACAATGAAAGTCCAATTTTAGGCAAGTTAGCCTGGTCAGCCACTTTTGGGATGAATTGGGAAAGAGAGAACCTGAAGGTATGGAGAACAGTGTAAGCGATTATGACAGTGATTCAGATATGATGGACATCTGTTTGACCCAAGATGGGGAAAAGTGGAAAGCCATGAATCTGAGCAAGGTTTTAGTGATAGCCAATTCCAGTATTGTGATAAAAACTTTCTAAAACATTTCAGTATTATATTACTCTGCCACTAATTTATTTGTCTTTTTATCATTTATTTCCTCTTGTGAGTATGGGTTTTCATCAGAGGAAGCCTGGAAGTTAATTGGGGAATTTGTTTTGCATAAAGAAGCATGTAGTTTCTCATAAACTTAAATATTTAGATTTAAAGTTGTATTTCCTAATGTGCACAGGTAATCTTAGACAAATAGCATCCCAGTGTTAGGTTGGAAGGTATGTTCAATAGCAGTAGTAAATCCAACATTAATTAAGATTAAAATGTGTATTGTGCTTCTGTTGACAAAGTTGAAGTTATGCACAGATGCCGGTAGTGTATACAACTAAATACCCATGCAAACAGGCAGTGCCAACTGTATTATAACCACTATATGCACATTCCTTTGACATTGCATTTGAAACATACTCTGTTTCTAGACCATTAAAACTTGAGGAAAATGTACCTTAGATAGAATAAATATATGTGTTAGTTGAGCTTTATAGACATCTGGATTTTTTTGTTGAAGGACAGTTGCTTTGTTGTTTCCTATATTCTTTGTTTTGCTTATAGTAGTAGTAGTAATAATATGGCTGGCTAATAGAAGGCATAATGTTTTTTAAATGCATGAAACATAAATCCACAAGTCAGCTACCTAGCTTCTTAAAAATAGTGTTATTTCAAAATAAGTTCAATATGTTGGCAATTCATAAAACTTTTGCTGTTACACAAATGGCACGTTATTTTTACTCCATTTCTCTACTAGGAAGAAAATATATTTTATGAGTCTTTCATTTCTTACTCAAATATCAGATAAGTTTTTTCCTGATCGTTTTTCTTTTCTTCCTGCAGCTTTGGGAACTCCTTTATAAGTTGCAGTTTGTGTATACCTACATTGCTCCATGGCAGATTACATGGGGTTCTGCTTTCCATGCATTTGCTCAGCCCTTTGCAGTGCCCCGTATCCTTCTAATGTTTTGTGAGAGTGGAAAATTATATCCTTGGTGAGGATATTGGTTTATATACCTTTATAGACATAAACTATAGGTTGCCATAAAACATATTGAGTCTATGGCTATGCTGGTTTAGATTGTATAACTTATTTAACATCTATTTCTCAAAGATCATCTGAATGTGAGAATTAAGGTTTTTGCAATAAGTACTACTAATTATAATTGTATTTGGTTTGTGGGGCTGGAGATTGAACCCATGATCTTTATACTGAGCTACATCTGCATCCCTCTTTTAATTTTGAAACAAGGTCTTGCTAAATTACTAAGTTGACCTTGAACTTGGGATCCTCCGTCTGAGGCTTCCAGAGCACTGAGATTATAGGCACATACTACCACACCTGGCTAAAGATTTTGTATTTTAAATATAATTATGAATGTTATTAAAGTCTTGAAATTTTTAATGTATATAAAACATTTAAAAATACTTAATGGAGCTTTTTTCTTAATGATTACCACTAAACTTCTGTCTGAAATTGTCTATTCTCATTTCATTTCTTTTTGGTTCTTTTGAGACAGGGTCCTACTATGTAACTTTGAATTCATTGTATACCCCAGGCAGGCTGCAGTGACCCTCCTGCCTCAGCCATCCGAGTGCTGGGTTTACAGTTGTGTGCCACCATGCCCAGCTTGTACTCATTTCTTGAAGTATTTTCTAAATATAATACTAAAGGTTAGTGATTAGTACCTACAGATTTTAGTTTTAATTGAAATATTAAATCCATTCCTCTTCTTGAGATTACCAGATACATATTAAAAATATTTTTTTGGCTCCCTTTATCACACCAGTTTGTCCTTCCTTTGTGTGTCTTTCTTTTGGGATGCCCTTATTTGGCCAATGACATCCTCACGTGTATTCTCTAATTCAGTGGTGACAAACCTATGACATGATGTGTGCCACAGTAGGTTTGTTTATATTATTGAAAACTCTAAAAGGTTTGCCAGTACTGCTCTAATTGCTGTGATGTAAATGTGTTTGTGAGATTTTTCTTCCTTTCTTCTTTTTAACATATGTATTCAGATCAATGTTAAGTTCCTTATCCAGTTTTCCCCCAGATTCAGCCATGCTGTTTATTCAGGCTGCTGTGTCAGCTTTCTTCTCTACCCCATTAAACCCCTTCCTGGGAAGTGCGATATTCATCACTTCATATGTTCGACCTGTGAAATTCTGGGAGAGAGATTATAAGTGAGTAAAGTAAAATACTTGAAAGACGGTTTTTGGTTTTGTTTTTTTGCAAGGAAAAACTATTGATAACATTGTTACTAGAAATTTTTTATGATTCATAATTTGTTATGTTCAAATATTTATGCTAAGAAATTTATAAATTTTCTCCCTTTTTTTGGGAGACAGGGTCTCTAAGTATTTCAGGCCAACCTTGAGCTTACAGCAGTTCTCTCACGTCAAACTCCCAAGTGTTAGGATCACTGGCATGCTCCACCATACGTGCCAGAAATTTATAAATATTTTTAAAATTTGAAAATTATATAAAACACAGGAAAGTTGGGGAAAATTATTTCTTTTCTTGCCTTTTCTACTCTAAAGATTTTTTAAAACAATTCTAGTTAAAGATATTCCTTGTCCTTCTGTCAGTGATTTTAAAGAATTATCTATAATACTCTGAGTCTTTATGCTGTGCCATGTTGCATCATTATCACCATTAAAATGAATTACAATTTTCTAAAGACACAGGTGGCTATTTTTAGAGCTAAACTTTTTCATGAAGAAAAGTTTTGAATGACCATCTTTGTGCATAAAATGTTTTCTCCATTTAGATTTAGTTTTTTAAAGCTCTTTAATATTTAGTGAACTGTACTTGTAGGTAATCTTTCTGGATTTTGTTTTCTAAGTTTGTAATGGGGAAATTCCTGAGTCATAACTTAACCGTGTTAAATATGCATTAACACATTGATTTGGAAAGAGATTATACTAGTTTATAATTTTAATGGCCTCTCTGTGACTGCACTACTCTGTGTTTTATACATCGACATATTTACTCCGGGAAATTGTGTTTTCATCTTTGAAACAATGAACTTGCTTGTTGGATTCAAAAATTTTGCTATACTCCTTTGTCTAAAACTATACATGATGATGATGTTTCCCATTTGGGGAATTTCAGGGTTATTTTATAGTTGTTCTGTGCCAACTTCTAGTCCAAAGTAGTATACTGTGATAACAGGTATTAAAGTCTTTTGTGTCAGAATCCCTACATATTTTTAAAAATTATTGAAAATGCCAGTTTTTAAGATATAAATCTTATTTATCAATAAAAACAAAAAAACTAAAATTTTTTCAAATGGTTAGTATTTTTAAAATAATAATATGTTCTTTAAATATTAGCATAAATAACATTTGAAAATTAAAAATAAGTATATTTTCTCACCCACCAAAACATTAGTGAGAGAAATGGCATTGCTTTACAATTTTTCAGATCTCTTAACATCTGGCTTATTAAAACACAGGTGGATTCTGTTCTGTGCTTCTGCATTAAGTTTATTGCAGAATGTTGTTTTGCTTGAAATATATGAAGAAACTTTAGCCTCATGCAGATAGGTAGTTAGGAAGTATTTTAATAGACTTTAAGGCTGTTTTGGATATTTTTTGATCCTTACTAAAACTCAATAAATAGTATTTTATTAAAAGTTAACCATGGTGTAGGTAACCAGCACAGGCGAGGTTAAGCAACCTGCCCAGCCCTCACATGCATACCTGCCACCATTGAGACTGTCCTGCAGGTAACCAGCACAGGCATAGTGAAGCAGCCAGCCCAGCCCCTGCAGGCACACCTGCCATCTGGACTGTCCTATGGGTATCAAGTGCAAGCCAGGAAAACCAGCCAGCTATGCCTTGGAGAAGTCATGAGTGTTTAGAGATGCCCAACCCATACCCCACCACCTCTGGGGAACTTCGGGTTAGGAGAAACGCAGGTGCCTGACCCATCCCTCTACACTGTGGATGAGTAGCCAATGTGGGAAGCTACTGGGACCCCACAATCCACTCTTCTTGAGGAATCCAGGAAAATATCGAGACAAAGGAGCAAAAGGCAATCTCTCACCTCCAATCCAAACAGAACAAGTCTAGGAGACATGGACATGGAAGAAAGCAGAAGGCGCACACCTAAAATTTCTGAGATGATGGTAACTTAAGTAAACTACTCATGAGGCTGTAAAAGAAATCAGATCAGAAATAAAATCTTTTTTTTTCTTTTTTGTCTTTTTCATTTTTATCAGTACCAAGGATCGAACTCACGACTGCCTGCTTGCAAGGCAGGTGCTTATGCCACTGAGCTAAATCCCCAGCCCCCCAGAAATAAAATCTTAAGTAAAAGAAAAATGAATTCACCAATAAAAAGAAATATAGGCAGAGTGGATCAAGAAACAAGATCCATTAATAGGCAGTATACAAGAAACACATTAACTTGAAAGGAAATACATAGATTGAAAGTCAAAGGAGAGAAAACAATGCTGCATGTGACAGGAAGCCAGAAAAAAGCAGGGGTAGCTTGCCTATCAACCACAGAACACACAAGAAAGATGTGGCATTTTTATACAATGGAAATCATGAGGCCCTTGTAGGTAAATGGATACAACTTGTGATCATGCTCTTGGGTGAAATGGTTCAGATGTATATAGGTGAGCATCATGTTGTCTCCCTTTTGTAAAAAACTGAAAGAGTAGGGTCCAAAATGTACAGTAGATACGTGAAAGTGAAAGGGGAGGAAACTCCTAAAAAGGGAAGGTGGTAGCCATTGTTAAGTCCCTATTATTTTGTTTTAAAATCCTGTATCACTTTTCACTGTTTTCATTTTGATTGGTTTTATTCTGTTCTGTTACACTTGATTTTATTAGGTCTGATGGTATGGACATCTTGATTTTGAAGATAACAGGAGGCATTATGGCAGCCATTGTTGATTTCCTATTACCTTGTTTTGAAACTTAGCACTTTCACTGTTTTGTTTGATTTTGATTGGCTTTATTCTATTTTCTTTTGTTTGGTTTTATCCCCTTAAAACTAAAAAGAAAAAAAATTTTTTTTAAAGTTAGTCGTGGTATAGAATCTAAGCTATATCTGAACTTTTGAAACTGTTACACCAAAATTCACCTGTTTGTACTTTGGGTAGATCCTTTACTCATGCATAATTCTGTTATATCATTTATTATTCATTTGAAAATTATTGCTTTACTGAACAACATATTTTCCAAATATTGACACATTTCATTATGCAGTGTTTAAAAAATGGGCTCGTTAGTGTCACCATCAATGTTAAAATGAAACGATAATAAGTATTGGGAAAGCTAGCAAGCTTATAGTTGAAAGAGTTTTCTCAAATTCTAATTTTTGCTTGACTCTTTATCATTGTCAACAGATACTTCCATCTGGTTGTTTTCCTTGGGATACATTTATTTTTTATTTTTGTACAATGCCTGTTCAGTAACACATCTGAATTATTTTCCGATTTCTTCATCAGATATTCAAGTAGAAATGGTGTTGCAGGAAAACAAGCTGTTAGTGTAGCTTGCAGTTCACACAGTTGCACAAATCCTTTTCCTTAGGACAGCCAGATCTAGGCAACAGTGTTTTCTGTGTGGTTTCTCATTTGCTATGCAAAACATTAAAAAATCCTGTAATAAGATGTTGAGATTTCAAAATAATATTACTACATGAATAAGGACATTTTTGAGTGAATGAATGGTCTCTTTATCCATGTTTGGCAGTGAAGGATAGTACCATTTGGTGCCACTGCCTTCATTCCTCTTCACACACCAACTCTTACCATTACTTTTATACCATCAGTGCAGTTTGTTAATATAGTGAAAAAAGGCAAAGGACAGCTCACTATGGTTAAGAGAGTAGTTTTGATCTGGAAGACTCCCTGAAACATTCTTGGGTTCTCTTGACCACTGGACATTAACAAATGTTCCTTTTCTTCCAAAGAATGTTTTGTGCAGCACACAAAGAGAATACTGGTATGTTTATGTGTAGTGAAGGTGGGAGGGAAAAAATATAAAACTTTGTCCTTCAAATTAATTGTGTACCAAAAATACCCTAATTACAGACTTTGCCCAGAGATTTTCCTAAGCAAGTTGGTTTATTCCAACTATTCCCATAGTTTCTCACTCATTCTTAATTATTAAAAATTTTTAAAGTACAAAGTTCCTAACAATGTTTATTTTTGTCTTCAGCACAAAACGAGTGGATCATTCAAATACCAGATTGGCTTCTCAACTTGATAGAAATCCAGGTAATATATTTATGAGTAAGGAGCCATATCTTCACTCCCAATTTGTTGGAAATCCTCTATGCCCAAATAATCATTTTTAAAAACTATGTATCTTGTGCTTTATTTTGTTTTACTTTAGCAAAGTATATATAAATTAGAGTATGTACCAATATATACAGCCATTTATAAAGTGCTTGTTTGTTTGTTTGCTTGCTTGTTTTTTGGTATCGAAGCTCAAACTCTTAACTTTGTGCTTGCCAGGCAGGCGCTTACACCACTCAGCTAAATTCCTCGCCCTGAAGTGCATTTTAATAATGTTTATAGAAATAAAAAATGCCTTTCAAAGATTTTTCTTACATAAGTTAAAAAGCAGAAAACATTTAAAGTAAAACTGATAATATACATTGAAAGGTATATAGTCACACTAGTACATGTTTCATTCATGTACTTGCTTCTATCCTCCCTAAATGTTTAAATATTAATTTTATTTATTCTTGTTTAAAAAGATGTCACCTGGTTGAAAGGGGCAAATTAACACTCAAGATAGGGCTTTTGTGGGTAGTGGTTTGGTGGTGGTACCATCATTTGAAGTCTGGTTGTTAGCTTTGTCATTTGGGAAACATTTTATCAGCTGGTTAAGTAGTAATCTGAGACAGAGAAAGTGAATCTCACTGCCTTGACCATAAGAGTTAATAAATCAGTCAAAACTCTAGTGTGTTAATTTGCTAAAAGGAACATTACTCTTAAATGGACTAAATTATTTGTATTGATTTGTTTCATAAATTCTTTCAAAGCTGTAAGAAACCTTACATTTGAGAAGCCATCTGAGAAACCAAGCTCTAAGAATCAGACTGATTTTTAATTACAGAACTGGAGTAAGGAAAACTAGTGACATTACTACCTGTTACCAGGAGGAAAACACCTTGTAAGCTCTGTGTGAACCTACAAAAGGCACTCAGGTTGCTAACAGCGCCATCCTGTGTAACAGATCACTGCACTATTGTAATAAGCAGACATAGAATTAGATACAGTCATTTTAATGGCATTTCAACTAGGGTTTCCCTTTTATTCTTTTAAAACTTAGGCTGGGTTTGAAATGATTACTAAGCTTTGGGGCTGGAGATTTAGCTTAGCAGCATAAGCACCTGCCTTGCAAGCAGGCAGTCGTGAGTTCGATCCCCGGTACCGATAAAAATGAAAAAGACAAAAAAAAAAAAAAAAAAAAGAAATGATTAGTAAGCTTTGACTTTTGCCATTCTCTGGTACTATAATTAGGATCCCATTTACAGGTTACAGGTTTTGGATGGATTACTTCTAGATTTGGTCATGTATTGAATCATGTTTTATAGTAATGCTTTCTTTACTGATAACCCTAATTTCTAAGTTTTTAGGTTCTTTATTACTATATCTGTGTATGTAGTTTATTTCTGTCCAATATGAGCTATCTTGATAGATTTTTAAAACGTCTTTGTTTTGGATTCCCTTTTTTATTCAAGTCTCGTATTTTTTTACTCACTTCACCAGATAGTCTTTTTTTGTTCTCTGAAGTATTTTATCTTTTTATCTCTCTTGTATGGCTTTAATTATAAGATACATTTCACTGAATAACAATAATAATTAATGAATCATAAATTACAGACTGTTACACAGGTAGAAAAGTCCTTAGATTGCATCTAATCAGATTCTCACATTACATGTATGGGAACCATCAGGGGCGTTATGTTACTTGTAAGTCTCAGTTGTAACATCTATCTCATCATCCTCTTTCATCTCTTTGGCCCCTCCCTCTCTCATTCCCTTCCTTCCTTCTTTCCTTCCTTCCTTCCTTCCTTCTGCTGTCTCCTCCCTCTTCCCTCCCTCTTTCTTTCTTTCTTACCATGGTGCTGGGATTGAATGTAATGCTTTGTGAATGTTAGGCAAGCAGTCAACCACTGAGCCAGATAGAGAAATTGTAAAGATATAAGTATTGTCTTGTCAAATAAATACAAATACAACCCTAACTGGGAGTTTTAATATTTTTAACAATTATATTCATCAGTTAAAAGTGATATAAGGTGGAATTTAATGTTTTGATTTGTTTTCTTTCACTTTTTTACAGGATCAGATGACAATAATCTGAATTCTATCTTTTATGAACATTTAACCAGATCCCTCCAACACAGCCTCTGTGGTGATTTGCTGCTAGGACGATGGGGAAACTATAGTACTGGAGACTGTTTCATCCTTGCCTCTGACTATCTCAATGCATTAGTACACCTTATAGAGATAGGCAATGGCCTGGTGACTTTCCAGCTACGGGGACTTGAATTCAGAGGTAAGACATTCACTCACCTTTTATTTTTACAGAACGTACTCCTGTGAAAGTCAAAAGTCATAAAATTAAATACTTAAAATTGTAGGATTACAAAAATCATTGAAGAATAGTTGTTACAGTTTTCTCCCTCAAATTTCATATTCATAGAACAGTCACTTATGTAGTATATGGTGCAGCATGTGAAAGTGGTAACACTACTATATAATTGACTTATTTACCTGAAGATACTGAACTCCTATTGCTCTGTGATTGGTTTCTTGCTAATCCCTTTTGTGACCAGGTGCATATATTGGCTGAATGCATAAATGTTTAGCATGCTGAGTTTTTGTGTGAGGCAGAGTAGTTAACTAAGTTATGTTCCTAAAAGTACTATGACGTTGTACTCAACATTTTTTTAATTGAAATGAAATTTACATAACTTAAAATGAAGAAAGCATTGGTATTTAATACATTCGCAGTATTATACAGCCACTACCTCTGTCTAGTTCCAAAGCATTTTTATCAGTCCAGAATAAACCTAACGTCCACTTAAGCAGTTATTTCCCATTACCCTTCCCACCAGCCTTCTAAAATTTTATGTACTGACAAAGGCATTTCTACTTAGAAAATTACAGATTCAGATATTCCTGTAGATTGAATACCTTATAAGTCCAGTAAGTCAACTTAATTTATTGGAATTTCAAGTCCTGTAACTGAGTATCTTCCTGGTGTAAGGAACATTTAATTCCGGCTGAAGATCTAGAGTCCTTTATCTATACTAACAAGTTCTTTGGAGTGTTTTTAGTCTGGAATAGGAAATAAGAAAGTGTTTGACTAGAAAGAGGATTGAACCAGATTCTTACTCCATTAGACTTATTTTTCACCCTGGTAATTAATTTAAAAACATGTGCCTTTGTTTTGGAGAATATGTTTAGGTAGAACAAGTACTTTCCTAGAAGGTACTCTATTCACTAGAAATTAGATTTTATTTATGTAGCACTCCCTTTGTTCTATACTTTCACCTCATGTTTTTCAAATGTAAGCCAGCGTGATACGTATGAAAGTCAGCACGTCCTTAGCACTATTTTTACACTGGTAGCACTTTAAACTTCCTTTTTAACACTTCTGGTACTTTTTTTTTCCTTTTTAATTTTATTGTAACAAACCGGTATAACTAATATTTGTATCTATGTAAGGTAACATCTTGCAATATGCAATACTGGGGATCAAGCCCAGGGTCTCAACACTTGCTAGGCAAGTACTCTGCCCCTGAGCTACATACCCAGCCATAGCTAATTGAAAAATTCATGATGCTGAATTTTTCATATAGTATAACCAAGGATAGAAGTGAAGAAAGGTACTAGTGAATTTTTTGTGTGTGTATGTGCGTTTGTGCATGCACACACAAATGTGGGGTTAGTAAATGCTTGCAGTGCATAATGTATTCATCATGGGGCATTGATACGTATTGCGTCTTAATCCTTTTTACTTCCTCTTCCCTCCTCTTCTCTTTCTTCTCCTTCCATCACTAGATCCCCTTCCCATCTCACAAAACCTGCTTTTCTGTTTCCTATTGTTGTTTCTTTTAAACAACTATTTTATTTACTTATTTATTTTTAAGGAAACAAATTCTCTTTTACTAGTTCTACTTGCCACCACTTTAAAAACAAGTTCTATATATTACTGTATCAAAACCCATTTAACACATTTCACAGCTCATTTAAAGCTTCGGTTTACAGTCATCCGTGTGGAATGTCACTGGGATTTCAGGGTTCTGTGTCAGAATTAAGTCCTTCAGTGCAACATCAGACATTTTACCTTGGCTCATTGTTTTCCTGTCAAGGGTGTCCTAATTTTACTTTTGGATCTTCATTTTTGTTTATTTGACTTCCTTCCTTTTGGATGTTCTCAGTAAGGCAGGTTGATATCTATATAAATAAGCATATACACGAACATGGTAAACGAGGTATTCTAATCCATCCATTGTTGTAGAATCAACATAGTGAAAAGAAATTGCAAGGTCAGAACAGCAACCAGGACCCTCTACTGAAGGATAATAGTTATAGTTCCAGTACCAAAGGTTTTGGGTAGGTAACCTTTGATTGAGTGGTGTTCCAGGACAAAGGGATGAAGTTTCTTTTCCAGTGGTATCTCTTGAATCTCCAGCTTCTACATTCGTAACTTCCATGCATCTTCCCAGCGCTGTCTTCAATAGAAGAACTATGTGTACATTTTTCTGTTTTAAATGCATCAATAAATCTCCTCAAGGTTTCTTAGCTTAGTATATATCCACTCATGTAACCTTAGATCTTTTCCCAAAATAAATGGGTTTTTCAGGGCTATGTTTTGAAAGAAGCCATCTCAAATTGTCTAGTATTACATAGATATCATCATCTGCTTTCATAAACCAATTCGCATCTTCTAAATAATGGTCATGAACATATTGAAAAGCTTTAATTGTTTTCCAGTGTAGTTGATCTCTACCTTCTTTGGTTTTTAATCCCACAGTAGGGAAGTCTTTATTTTCTTCTGAACTCATAAACAACACTTTATTACAATGTTGGGCCCATGTAACTTTAACATGTTTGGCCTTTTTCTCTAGATTTTGAGGGCCTGTCATAACCCAACAAAGAATTCTAACTTTCTGGTACAGGTTTTCAGCAATATCTGTGTTTTCATCTTTATGTTGACTAGAATCTGCATTAAAGTTCATTTGTCCTTCTAGATGATTCTGTTCACCATCATCTGAATGTCTTGCATAAGGATCATTATGAAGAATATTAGGCTGGGTATCACCTTGTTCTCCCAACAAAATACTAAATAGCTGAGAACATAAAAAAGAAAAAAAAAAATCCTATTGCTGATCCACAGAGTAAGGTTAAAAGATTCACCCAAGATTTAGAGGCTATTTCCTGACATATATTTCTGACATTAGCCGCAGCGGCGGTGCAGGGCAAGCAACCTCCGCTCCTTTGGGCAGCCACAGAAGTAGCTCGTGGCTGCTAGCCTGCGCCGCCAAGGGCTGCACAGATCATTCTCCGACAGTGGTGGCTGCAGCCAAGGCAGGCCCAGTGCCCAGCCGCCCGCTCACCAAAACAACTCTTTTAAAAATACAAAAGTATGCTTAGTTTGGATTGGTCCAGAGTTATATTGCCAACCTTCTCTAAAGAGAATAGATCCTGAAAAAAAAGAAAAAAAGCAGAGTATAAATCCTTAAATAGCAGTAGTAACATTTATTTTAGCATCATTTTTTATCAGCACATACATCATATAGTGTATAATAAATATTTTGTTTTATAAAATGATTAAAATAATGTCAGCATTTGGCTGGGGATTTAGCTCAGTGGTGTAAGTACCTGCCTGGCAAGTGTGAGGTTGTGAGTTCGATCCCCTGTACCAAACCAAAACAAAACAAAAAAACTGAATAATGTCAGCATTTTTTTCTCTTCATCTCAAGACTCATGAGATATGATTATATTCTTGCTCAAATATTGGTGTGATCTTGTATTGTTTTTCCTTCGATCAAACAGATTAGCCTTTTCCTATAGGTCTTGGCTAAACTCATTCATAATTTTCATTTCCATTTCTCTTGTACCAATATTATCAAGATTCTTTTCCATGTAAATTTCATGTGGAAAAAAATGTATTGTCAGTTTATTGTCTACATCAGCATTTTTTGATTATGGCTTCTACCAATCTTTTTGTATTGTTTCTATCCAGAACATTTTTCAATTCAAATTTTAAATGTCAAAAATTTGTAGTTGATTAAATACCCTTCACTTTTTACTCAAATTAATTTTGACAAGTCTAGTTGTCATGATTGTTATTTATTTTTTACTAATAATATGCACTGTTAAGTGGCTGAAAGATCCAACTGATCCAGGAAACAAGTGACAGTAGTTGCTTATAGATATTTTAGAATCAGCTCACTTTCTAAGGCTCAAAATTTTTTTCAATTACTGATAGTAATTCTTGTACTTGTTAGTGACTTAATTTTCTAAGGAAAATTTATTACTAGAGGTTGTAAATAATAAGAGAGTTGGTGTGGCAGAGTAAAAATATCCTACTTTAATTCTGTTACACCAGTCACCTGATTCTGCTGCTCTAAACGAAGACCACAATTGTCAAAAAACTTACAAATTCCCTCTTATTGTATCTGCCTTTTACACAGCACCAACAAAGTGACATGTGCAATATGTAGTTACCAATGCTCTCATTATGGTATTTACTCATTTAAAAACCTTTCAGCAGCTTCCCAAAAGACAAAACAAAATGAATAAAATAAAATAACACAGAAAACCAAAGGAATAGTCTTGACTTAGTACCACAATTGAAATAATAGCAACACCCCAAATATAGGATACTTCTAGAGATTGAATTCTTCTGCACTCTGACTTGTGCTAGCACATAGATAAAGGAAAAAAAAAACCTTAAAGGGTTTTACAAACTAATGTCATATTGATAATCAAAATATGACTGAGTTAACATAGAAGAGCTAGTTGAACTTTATTTATAACTGTACATGCAAAATTCTTCAATTCTAGAATAAGCAGAATGTAGCAGTGCTTTTTAAAATACCCATACAAAATCAACTGTTTAATTTTGAATTTAAGTGTTAGAAAGCAAATAGTAAAATTCTATTTTATAGGTAATAGGGGAAAAGCAGTATGATTTTTCTCAAGATGCCAGAATACATTTGATTAAGTTTCATTTCCATTATTGCTTTCAGAGATAATGTATAAAATTATATACATTATATTGAGAAATATAAGTAAGTGTATGCATATCTATAGTGAGTATTATATAGTATTAATAGTTAACCACTACATGTATTCCTGTGATTGGGAAGTTCAAGACAAGGACTTGTTACCATAAGTAACATGATTTTAGAAGTGTTAGCCAATGTAATTAAACAAGAAAAGAAAATAATAAAATTTTGGGGAGTTCTGGACTACTAAACAATATAACTCTTTAGTTGACCAAAATAATCTCTTTATCTTTGTTTTTCATTATAACACCACTACTATTTATTTGTCTCAAAACAGTGGTTTTCAAATGTACGTAGTCTAGGGCTGGGGATATAGCTCAGTGGCACAAGCATCTACGTGGCAAGCACAAGGTCCAGAGTTTGATTCCCAATTCCATAAATAAATAAATAAATCTATATGAATGTAGTGGTACACACCTGTAATCCCAGCACTTGGGAGGCTGAGGCAGGAAGATTATTGCAAATTCAAAGCCAGAGTGGGCTACAGAGTGAATTTAAGGTCAGCTTGAACTGCATAGCAAGACCATCTCAAAAGAAAAAAAAGTACATAGTATATATATATTCCCTTTAAAAGAAAAAAAGCTATTGTGCAAAGAAAAAAATATAACCTAGATATGTGCCTGTATATAATTAAGACAATTGCTTTATAGCCTTTATGTAAGAAATTTATAAGTTAAATGGCAGAAAGACCATAAAATAAAATAAAAGGTAACATCAATTAATAGAAAGGATATTTTGCTAGTACTTGATTGCTTTGGTTCTAATTCTACATTTAATCTGTTTTTGTGTTCTTATTTTGATAATACTAATGCACAGAATGCCTATTTGATAAATACCTGTATAAAAGAAATGTCAAAGATTTATTTCCTAGTTCAGAAGAGTGAGACCCAATACCTAGTTAAAATTATATCAACAGATAAATCTCCAGGGACAATAATGTAATCATACCAACCATTGTTAGATTTACAAATGTAAAAATTTTGTAATTATGTATTTAATATTAAATGAACTTTTTCACAAGTTCCAGATATATAATATTTCTAATTGTGCCCTGGACATGATACCAAAACTTTAATATAGTTATGGTTTGTGTTCGAATGGCCCCCACAAGCCTCATGCAATCATAGATGCAGCTGAGTCTTGTGTTCATTGTTGTCTGGTGCTGGCATTGGTGGTGTAAGTGCTGTATCCGCCCAGGGTAGAGCTGACTTACAGTGCAAGGGCAAGAAAAAGGCATGTGTTTTCTGTTTGCTCTGTTTACCCTTGCTGTTTTCCGGTGGCCATGCCATCCTGCCTTGAGCCAGCTGAGTATAACCTGAAAGTTTCAAACTGTAAGAAATAAACCTTCCCTTGCTTCACTTAGGGCATCAGGTATTTTGTCTCAACAAAGAGAAAAAAGCAACTAAGACAGTGTGCTAGTGTACATTGTGATTCTACAGCAAATGAACATACAGACAACCCAGTTTCTTGAGTTTTCTGCCATTTGTTAGTGCATATTCTAAGGCAATGCAGTAAATAATTGCTTTATAGTTGCTTTAAATGTGTCCATTTTTTCCTAAAATTCTATCCTAGAGGTATTGATTTTTCCCATTTTCTGTTTGTTTTTTTTTCCCCCCTTTGTAATGATTTCTGTCTCTTTTTGCAAGGTACTTACTGTCAACAACGGGAAGTAGAAGCCATTACTGAGGGTGTAGAAGAAGATGAAGGATTTTGCTGTTGTGAACCTGGCCATATTCCTCATATACTTTCATTTAATGCTGCCTTTAGCCAACGTTGGCTGGCTTGGGAAGTAATAGTTACTAAGTATATTCTGGAAGGTTACAGCATCACTGATAATAGTGCTGCTTCTATGCTTCAGGTCTTTGATCTTCGGAAGGTACTCACCACTTACTATGTCAAGGTAAGGGTATGAGCCTGTTTACATCTTTGAATAATCTAAGCATTTGTTGAGAAAGACATACACACACACACACACATATGGTTTTATACATGTGCTTAGCTTCTGAGTGGTGATTTAAATTCTCTATTATGCAGGAGAGTTAGTAAAAATTTACCTACAAAGGTCTTGCTATTTCTTTAGTGGAACTTGTTCCATTTGTTCATTAATAATGATAGCCTTTGAAGCTTTTGTTTTGGGCATTAATGCTAAATAATATTCAAGCGTATGCATCCACAACTGTGTATATTTTAATTCTATAAAGAAGTGTTATTTTCCTGTTGAACAAATAAACAGCTTAAGTATCAGAAGCTTATTTGTTAAAGATCCTCTAAATACCAAATGAAGCTTGGAATTTAAAAGTGAGAAATGTCTGATTCCTAGGCCCTTGCTGTCAACTAGTGTTTTGCACTACTTTGCAAACTGAATCAAAGTATTACAGAGTTCTGGATCACCCTCATCTGACACCAGCTGCAATTTTGGGATCCCCAAAATCATCCATAGTTTCAGAAATTTGTTAGAAAGACTAACAGAACTCAGCAAAGCCAAGAATAGTGTCCAGAGCCATCATGGTAAGGAGCTTCCAAATGTCCTCTCCCAGTGGAACTACACAGATGCCTATTTCTCTGAGCATCACAGTATGGCACTATTCATAGAATATTGCCAGACCAAGAAGTTGAGCTGGATGTCCTGCATCTTTATTGGAGTGCAATAATGTACCCATGGTTGGCCATCCGCATAGAAGACCCACGTCTCCTGACTTAACGAAGGTCAAGTTGATAACTTGAGACAGTAGTTCCCCAACATAAAGTTTCTCTTCTCATGCAGCACATATTAAAGGCTTAGAGATTACTTTCTAAGACCCATAGGGCAGGCCCCTCATTGGGCAGGATTAATCCTTTACTGCACAAAATACTCCATATTTGCTAAAGGTCTTATGGAAATGGAGCACAGTCATGATTTGGGGACTTGCAGGTAAAGCCAGTATTTTTAAGAGGAAGTGTGTGTTAAGCTTTAGACCCTCTTAATGCTCATCTAAAGTTTTCATATTTTATGATGTTACCTCTAAATACCACTATATTACAGCCTTCTGTCCAGTGTTTGGTTAAACTCAACCACAGAAAGCTAGTGAGATTGATTTTACATTTTTTTATCTGTACGTATGTGTCATTTTCTATCTATAGTTTTAAATTTACAAATTTCTATTGCTTTATGATTAACTATATTTCTGTAACTTGCCTTAGGTATACTAGATATTTTTAATGACTTTCTATTAACAAATTTTTGAAAATTAATTCAGCACAGTAATTTTTTTTTCTCATAGTATCTAAATTCAGAAGCACTAATATCAATAGAATACAAGTTGCCATGGTAATTTTAAGGTTGTGATTTTAAAGTGTTAAATTTTTTTTATCCAGAAAGGCCTAAGGTTATAACATTTTAAAAATATATACAGAGTATTGAGCTAGAATAAAATATTTTTGAGTTATCTCTGAAAACATTTAGAATTTATTTTACTGAGGAGTTGGAATCCATTCAGATTGTGCTTTAACCTGAATTCTTTTCCACATTAGGGTATCATTTATTATGTTATCACTTCCTCTAAGTTAGAAGAGTGGCTAGCTAATGAGACAATGCAGGAAGGACTTCGACTGTGTGCAGATCGAAATTATGTTGATGTAGACCCAACATTTAATCCAAACATCGATGAAGACTATGACCATCGGCTGGCAGGCATATCCAGGGAGAGTTTCTGTGTGATTTACCTCAACTGGATAGAGTACTGCTCTTCCCGGAGAGCAAAGGTAGGATTGGTTTATGTCATTTGCAACACTTTGAATCCTCCAAATATTTCCAAAGCTGGAAAGAAGATCCCTGTTCATTATTCTGAGGTCAGTTTTTCCTCAGCTATTTCTTTCTGTTCTTCTAGCTTAGAGAACCTGTCTTGGGCTTTTGTGATTGGACCAGACCAACTCTGCCAAAACAGTTCAAGGAAAGTGGCCCCTCCTCAGTTCTTTTAGGGTGCTCTGATCTCACTGTCCAGACAGCACTTTTCCATCCTATGCATGAATATGTATCTACACAAATTTGAATCACACACATTACTTTCTAAAATCTAGTCCTTCCAAACCTATCATACTTAAAAATCATTAAACATCTTTGTCCCAAATACAAAGTCAAGACCAATGCTGTGTATTAGAATTTTCTGTAATGATGGAAGTATCCTGTGCTGCCTTATGTCACATCTGGCAGTAAACACTTGGAATGTCACCAAGTACAAAGAATCAAATTTTAAATTGTGTTAATTTTAATTGATTTAAATGTAATAACTCCTGTGGCTAGTGGTTACTATATTTACATAGGGTACATCTAGACCATGGGATCTTCGATATTTATATAAATAAAAAATGCCCTAGATTTGTACAAATGAAGATTCTTGGGCCTTACTGAGCATTACAATTGATTAAGACTAGATAGGGAAAATAAAAACGAATCATCCTGGATGAGGTGTATTTGCGTACATTAGAACAACTTACCCTAAAAGTAAATTAGTACAGACTGTAGCAACTATTTCTTTCTCCTGGGTTTCTGGCTCTCATAGTATTGCCACAGACTTCATGTAATATGACCACAGTACTGAAGTCTGTGGCTAGAGCAATTCCTGCTACCAGTATTGCTTTCCAAGCAATAGCCTTGGGTATTTGAATCAGCAATTGTTTCCTTGCTGTAGCGTAGTGAGACACCTCAATAACCTGTGCTTTTGTTATGATTTGGGGTATACACACTGGTCATCTTCAGTCAAAACCTGATTCCTTATTTTTCATAGACTAATTTAAGGCATATTGTCCTATCAGCATTTTTTATCTTTTCTTCATCTGTAAGAGTGGGAGAGGGAATCCTTGTACCTCCTCTCTGAGTATTTCTTTTAAACTTTTATACTGGATGTGCAACATGCACTGATCAGGATATAGAAGTAACAGTAAAGTACGAGGCTCGAAGAAAGATCAACAAACATCTGGATATAGAAAACTTCAAAGTTTAATGTCTTTCAAAAATAGAATAAGCAGTGTTTTTTTCATAAAGGAAATACACTTAAAATGCCTTAGATACTGTTCTCAAATCTTTGGACTCTTTTTTGAGAGGAATTTGAAGAGTGGTCATAATTCTTATATTCCTTATCTGGTTTAGATGACACTGGAGCTCACTGCTCAGGAACAGGACTTCATATACTTTAACTTAAGGACCCTTCTCTTAGACACTATTGCTGAGGTCATGCACGTAGCTCAAGAAAGTCCTCCTAGTTGCTGACACATCATATATTTAAAAGGCTTACCTACAAACATAGGTATCCTAGTCTTTTCAGAGTGCTTATTATCACCAGGTCAGCCTCATATATGCTCTATTCATTATAATCCCTTTAGAAGACAACCATTACTCCTGATGTACACTCTCCCATCTGCTTTAGGTTTTTTTCTTTAAAGGATCTAATTTTTCTTTGAACAAGATTATCCCTCCTCCTGCAATGGCACAGTCTGTTCTCTGAATCACCATTCCCAGAATGACTACTTCCTGGGGATGTTTAGTAAGTCGTGGAGATCTGCTGACTCCAGCTCCCAGGACCCACACCAGAGTAATAAGAAGTGACCTCATATTCTTCCACGATTTTTTCTGAAGCACTGTTCTTTATTGCACAGAAATAAAAACTCATCCTTCTCTCAGTGTGTACTGAGTTCTTTTTCCTCCTTCTGATTTATATGTTAAATATCTTCTGATTTCTTAAATATGAACATATTTTTCTGATAGCTATTGTTTGGTTTTTTTAAAGCCACTGGATGTGGACAAAGATTCATCCCTGGTAACTCTGTGTTATGGCCTCTGTGTTCTGGGACGGAGAGCTTTGGGAACTGCATCCCACCATATGTCCAGGTAAACAAGTTTTTCTTTTTTTCAGAAAGAGTATAGAGAGCTATGTGATCTAAGTGTGAAATACGTTTTAATGGACACTTCATTACTTTATTGTTAATATCGCCTTCGATTTTATTTTTTGTAGTTCTTTTTACTGAACGTGATTGAGTTCTACTGACTAGATAAAACTGGCTTTAAAATTCACACATGTGAATAACCATTGATAACAATAATGTGTATAGAAGACATTTAAAAATATCACCTTATAAAGTTTGATTTATCTCCCATCTATAATGTATATTTTTCCTAACATATTCACTTGCTTTTATTATTTTGTATTCTTTGTCCAGAACATTTATATTTTTGATGCAGTTTTATGTGTTAAGATTTTGGAGACTCTAAATATAAACTGAATTTACTGACATAAATACACCAATGAGTTAGAATTAAGGAGTTCATATTTTCAATTCCTCCTATAATTACATTTCACATTGGACTCCTTAATTAATTTTAACTTAGGGGCTCTTTGCCTTCTTGTTTTGTGGATTCACTGTTTAATAGTGGTTCACAAAGATCACAGATCAAACAGGCACCTCTTCTGATTTTGATTTATGAAGTCTGGTCTTAGTTTCTGGAATCTGTATTTTCAAAACACTCCCAGATGATTCTGATACACAGCCAGATGTGAGCATCAATATCATGAACATGTTGTCAAAATATGTGAACTTTTATCTCCAATCTTAACAGTAATTTAGAGTCATTCCTCTATGGATTGCATGCCCTATTTAAAGGAGATTTCCGTATTTCTTCAATTCGAGATGAATGGATCTTTGCTGACATGGAACTGCTAAGAAAAGTAGTAGTCCCTGGAATTCGTATGTCCATTAAACTTCATCAGGTAAAAACTTTGTTTGTTTGTTTCCATTTGGTACTTTTTCACTTGACTTCTGCTTTATGTTTTTAGGAATCTTTTGAGAAATGCTCTTATCTGAACCAAAGAAAATGATGATTCATGGAAAAACAGTAAACCTTAAGAACCAGAACCTTGAGTTTTAAATAGTAAATTTGATTATTAATACTAAAGAGTAAACAATCTGGATATGAACTTTTGAGAAAAATTTAAGCAGTGACAAGTTGAAAATAAGGTCTTTGACCCCTGTAGTATTTAACTTGACTTTCATGCCTCTTGCCTAAATGAATGCCTGTGAACTCCAAATGCAGAGTAGTTCATAGCTGAAGAGTGGTAACAGCTGCTGTTACTAAGGTGTGCATTTTGTTTATTGTATTACATGACATAATAGTAGGTTGAGACAGATTTAGTCCTAATTAAATAATTCTAGCAGAGTAATACAATTAAAATGAGAGCCACACTACCATTTCCAAAACCCTAGATCATTTCAAGAATGTGTTGTGAGTTGACATGGTGGTAACACCTGTCATCCCAGCACTCAGGAGGCTGATGTAGGAGAACTGCTCCAAGATCAGCCTGGGTTATGTCATGAGATGTATCTCAAAAAAGGGGGAAAAAAGAGTATATTGTGAAAATAAGTACTGGCACTTGAGATCCTGTAATCATTGTACTTGACTCCAGTTATCATATCTAATGGGTAGGGTTCAGGTGGTAAATGGATTCACTATGACCAAATCTGATTGAGTCTTTTGTCACAAACTAAAATGCAAATTACTCTTCAAATGACTTTATTACAATCTAAAGTGTTAGAATTAAGCTAACATTCCCTGTTCTTCAGGAGGATTACTGGTAAGTGATAGATTGTTTGAAAACCTCTGAAAAATGGAATATTATTTTGAAGACAATTGGGAAAATATTCATTTGAAATAAAATAGAATTTTCCTTATTCAAACTGACTTTAAAGTTTTTAAGACAAAGTTTTGTGCATTTAAAAGAAAAAAGATAATGACCCCAGATTAAAATTTTCAAATTTTTCACATTTTAAGCCCAATGAAAGGAAATATTAAATGATTAAATGTTAACCACTTTACACATGTGTAATGATTTTCAACTTTGGGTTCATTTTATTTGTAATGTGATTATTGCCAGTATCTGGACTTGTATTTTTCATTCAAATAATTATTAATACTACTATGCAAAAATTGCGTTCCTTCCCTAATGGAACGTTTGGTGTAAGAAAGCACATCATAAGACATCAGATAATTTGCTGGTTTGGAGAAGTACAAACTCAGTACTAACAAAAAGATCAGGAGACCTGTGGTGTGCTTAGGAGTCTGTAACTGCCAATCAGGTTCGTGTTATAAATGTCATCCTTTAGTTCTGTAGAGGCAGATTCAGGGTCCAGGATTCTCACTCAGAACATTAATTGAGGGGAGTACACTCAAGAATTTCATAAAAAGTGTTAGAAGCAATGCTGAAGTTTTGATACAAACTTTGTAAGCCCAGGACACCAGTTTTGAGATAATTTAATATGTAGGTTTTATCTTGACCTCTTTGACAAAGTTCTTGTCTGTGTAAAATGAAGTGACATATTGGAAACATCTTTACATTATAAAGCATCATTCACGTGTACAATATGATTTTCATAGGTACTGTCCCCCTATATAGAGAGAAGGCCTATATCCTTGTGTGGATTGTCTCCTTACTCTTCTTTTTTTTTTCTCCCAACGGGGGGGGGGGGTATTATTGCAGTCATTGAACTGCAAATGAGTTACTTTACTTGAATATGGAAGTATATCAGCCTCTTAACCTGTAAATGTGAAGGCAGCCAATATTTGTGCTGTATTTTCTTAATGCTATTCTAGAAATTCAGGTTTGTGTTACGATTGTTTTGGTATATATCCCTTATAATTTGTACTGTGTAAGAGAAATGTACATTTCATATACTCTTTGTTTATGCACATGGTAGACACTGAGTTTTTATGGAATGAATGAGTAGTCATTAAGTCCAGGAGGCCCTTCAGGGAAGACTGACTAGATTCTGTAGAACTGAGGCACTTAATTTGTCCACAGAGATCAGAGCTTTGAGCCATATGTTAACTAGAGACTGGGAGAAAAATAGTATATTAGAATACTCCAGAGAAGTTGCTTTCTGTAAAAAGAACTTTGTTTAAAAAAAAAAAAATCATGTAGACACCTTTTTAGATCTTCCTTAATTGATAATGATGAAATAAAGGGTTGAAAACAAAATGACTGAAGAGGAAAAATCAACTTGGAAGAGGAAAGGCAATACATAAAAATTAGAAATGGTATTTGTTTAAAACTTGAAGGAGAGAATTAAAGAATTCACAAAAGTAGTATAGCAGTTCCTAACCTAGTTTATATTTAAGATGTAGGGGCTGGGGATTTAGCTCAGCGGCATAAGCGTCTGCCTTGCAAGCAGGCAGTCATGAGTTCGATCCCTGGTACCGATAAAAAGGAAAAAGACAAAAAAAAAATTTAAAAAAATATTTAAGATGTAATTTTATCCCCAATAATAAGTGTTGATATGAAATATTTATATTAAGATAGTTTGGAGGAATTTTCACTTGGGAGTTATCCTACAAGTCATTTTTTTCTTTTCATATATATAAATGTATATGTGTAGGATCATTTTACTTCTCCAGATGAGTATGATGACCCCACTGTACTCTACGAAGCCATTGTATCACACGAGAAGAACCTCGTGATAGCCCATGAAGGAGACCCTGCATGGCGGAGTGCAGTCCTTGCCAACTCTCCCTCCTTGCTTGCTCTGCGGCATGTCATGGATGATGGCACCAATGAATATAAAATCATCATGCTCAATAGACGCTACCTGAGTTTCAGAGTCATTAAAGTGAGTTTTGTAATCATTTATTTGTGTCTTTTAAAAAAAGTTGGATAACTTGATTCAAAGTTTATTGCAGTGATTGAAACTTTTTATGAAAAAAATTAACCATACTACCATAGCATTTATTGTGTACGAATACTTAATTTACTTATTTAGTCAAGTGTTTTACTCTGATCTCTGAAATTTTCTCAATTGCTATAGAGGCTAAAAATTTTGTTTACTCCAATGTTGACGTCTGTTATCCATTACATGTTAGGTTTTTTACTGATTCTATATGCATTTGGGGCAGCATTTATTTTTAAAAAATGAGTACCTAATTGCTAATATACATATTGTGATTCTCCTTGCAAAATAATAGTATAGTTTATGCTTAATAGTGATTAGAAACTAACTATAAATGATTCACTCTAACTTTTCCTTGGAGATGTGTATACCTAAATATCTCCAAGCTCTTGGAGTCTTAGTTTCTGTTTAATTTTGATAATTTATAATGATTTATTTTTATCTACTTAATCAGCTCCCAAAGAACCACTAATAGCCTTTCAACTTGAAACATATGCTATTTCTTATTTTACTTAATATTTTTGTAAGACAGTAAGAAAAAGAGCTCTGTAGGTGCTTATTACTTAACAGTCCACTAGTAACAAGGATAAGTGGTTAATTCCTATTCAGATGTGGTCTACTTGGTTATATTTTGTCCAGCTTTTCACAGCACGTCGTCATACTGTCTTTTTATTGCTCTCATTTCTATTCTTCTTCTCTGAATTGTACTCTCGGCCCCTTAATTGGCTCTCATGTATTTTGGTTTCCAGGTAAACAAGGAGTGTGTCCGAGGTCTTTGGGCTGGGCAACAGCAGGAACTTGTTTTTTTACGAAACCGTAACCCAGAGAGAGGTAGCATCCAGAATGCAAAGCAAGCTCTACGAAACATGATAAACTCATCTTGTGATCAGCCAATTGGCTACCCGATCTTTGTCTCACCCCTGACAACTTCTTACTCTGACAGCCATGAACAGCTCAAAGAAATTCTTGGAGGACCTATTAGCTTGGGAAATATCAGAAACTTTATAGTGTCAACTTGGCACAGGTAAGGCATCGAATTGTGTTTTTCAGTGGCATATACTCTGACCCTGTTTGTCTTTTAGGCGATGTGCATTAGCTCACCTGGGAAGCTTGTAGAAAAAAGTACAGTTGCCATGGCACAATATGAATCTGAACTTCAGGAAGCAGAATCTGAGCATCTTTGTCTTTAAAATCTTACTAGATAAATGCAATATACAACTCCAATTAAGAAATGTTATTCTAGATCCAGGTGTAGTGGTATACACTTGTAATCCAGGCACTAGGGAGACTGAGGCAGGAGAATCACCGTGAGTTGAAGGCCAGTGTGAGCTATATAGTGAGTTCAAATACAGCCTGTAATAGTGAGACCGTGTTTCAAAAAACCAAAAAAAGAGGAACCATCGCTCTAGTATTTGCTAGAACCTTTTCATTTTTAATCGTTGACTTTGGTGTAGTGATATTGCCAGTATTAGAATATGTGAGCTGGTCAGACAGGGCAAATTAAGAGAAAAATACAAGAAACTTGTTGAGTTTATTACTTTCTTCTATTTTATCATTCTGTTTTGGCACTAGGGGGCGTGCTCTGCACATGTTAACTGCTGGTTGCATGATGCCTTCTATTGCTCTCCCATCTTGTGTAACAATCTAATCATCACACAAGTCTCAAATCTTCAGTGTGTTGAAGTATGCAATGAGTTTCGTTTCTGAGTTTTGTCTAGTAGATTATAACAAAGTTGAGGCACATTTTAGTTAGCATATGGTAAGAAAAATTGTAGATCATTCTTTTCAGATTCTTAAATATCAGAGCTTAAGGAAAACAGGAATATTTTTAATTTTTTTCTCAGTGCTTAAGGAGTAATTCCTACTATTTTAACATCAGTCTCTATCAGAACAGGAGGAGTATATATAAACCAGAGTAGCGTTCGAAACTATTTTCTCTTCCAAAAAAAAATTTTTCTCTTGTGTTGGAATTGACCTAGAAGACGTTAAACTCTTTCTCTCTAAGAAAAATAAATACAGATACCCAGTTCTGATTTGCCTAAGACTGATGACTGTCATGGGGTATGAGATTTTCAGTGCCAAAATGAGACAGTTACAGCCAACCAGGGCTGCTCGTTGCCCTGAAGTTAAGACAGAAAGAGATAGGTGCACAGCCACACCTCTTGAAGTGTGCTAACATACAGTGTAAATAAGTTAGGTTTTCAGGAGTTTCATACTTCAGAGTCACTGAATAGACACTGACAAGAGCTGTGTTTATACTTGTGATCTTAATGGTACAACAGGTTTTCTGCTATTCTTCCTTATAGATGATATATATAATCTTATAGATGATATTATATATAAATAATAGGTGATAGATTATATAAAAGTGAAGTACACTAGGTAGACATGAAGCAGTATGAGAAGGATATAGTTCTTAAACTATTTTTTCAAAAAAGACTTCTTTATATTGATTGTACCTTGAATATTGATTACACCAGGAATACTTTTGCAGGTGGACATTAGTACATAACAGCTCAGAATGACTGAGAAAAGAGCAACCTGTCTGTTGTGAAATAATCATAAGATAATCCTTCTTGCTTTGTATTTGTTTCTAGGCTAAGGAAAGGTTGTGGAGCTGGATGTAATAGTGGGGGCAATATTGAAGATTCTGACACTGGAGGTGGAACTTCCTGTACTGGTAACAACGCCACAACTGCCAATGATCCCCACAGCAATGTATCCCAGGGAAACACTGGAAATCCTGGGCAGGGATCAGGAGTGGGACTCCATCCGCCTGTCACTTCTTACCCTCCAGCACTAGGTAATAGGAAGCATAGGCATATGTGCAGTGTTAGTCCCTTAACTGTAGGATCTTGTTAGTGTGCCTATAAAAAGAAGAATGTATGTGATCTATTTAGAAATGTATAGATATTTTTCTCAACTCTCGGTTGTACTTCTTCATATAAATCATATGTATGTGTAATCTCAGTGTATATATTTACTTGATATTTGATAAGGATTTTCAAAATACTAAGAATTCTTTGACTATATAATTTAAAAGCCAATATTCAATTATACTTCGTTTAATTTCTTAGAGGATAATGACTTGGTTTCTTCTGACATAGTGTTGCAATAATTTTTGTATGTAAGTTTTTATAATCACTTACTGTTTTCTTAGCTAAAGACTTTAAAAGTCAGTAGGACAAAACGTACTTTAGGAATAAAACTCTTGCTATCTAATGCCAAAAATCTTTCCAGAAAATTTTCATAACAGTTGATGCCTCAAACAGTCATAAGTGAATGTTTGCAGTGTTAACTTTTTCCCAACTTTGAGGAGCATCAGTTTTCTTCTCTGCTCCCTGTTTGCTGAGGAAGTAAAGAGGCAGGAAGGGTGGGTGGGTGATTTGTCGCTCAGTTGGTTTTCGATACTGGGATTGAACCCAGGGCCTTGGCACAAATCTGTATTCTTAGTCCTTTTAGTTTTATTTGTTTTAAGACAAGGTTTGATAAATTAGTAAATTGTCCAGACTGGGCTTACCCTTGTTATCTTCCTGCCTTAGCCTTCTAGAGTGTGGGACTAAGGGTTTGTGCCAGCAACTAATTGATGGAGTGGTTTTAATTTCATTGTTTTATTTATTTTTTTAAATTTATTTATTATTTTTTTGTACCGAAGATTGAACTCATGACCTCACACTTGCCAGTCAAGCGCTTGAGCTTGAGCCAACTGAGCTAAATCCCCAGTCAATTATCATTGTTTTAATTTGCATTGCTCTGATACCCAAAATTGCAACTTTTTAGTGATTTTTACCTGTTTTCTTTCCAGGAGGCTTATTCTAACTTTTTGCCTATTTTTCTACTTGGCCTTTTTTTTTTTTTTTTTTTTTTTTTTTTTTTTTTTTTTAAATGTGTGTTCTTTGTCTCTGAACAGTTTGTCAGTTTTCTGTACTGCAAATATATTTTCCAGCTTGTCCTCTGATTTTCTATTTTATTCCTGTAAAGAATGGCTTGCCTTCCCATAATGGAAAGCCTTTTAGTTTAGAACAATTCACTTTTTACTTTGCGTAGTGCTTTTTAAAAAAACCTATTTAAGGAAAACTCTCTCTGTCCCAATGCCACAAAGGTGTGCTTATTCTTACTTACCTTGACAGGAGACCTCCACGCTCCCTAAAGTGTAGCACCAGTCAGGTTTCATGTGTTCCCCTGTGCCAGTCAAAATCAGCACTCTCTCTTCTATTCCTCTAACCAAGGATCAAAACTTTAAAACATTTATGTATACTTAAGAAACAATTCTAGTGAGATCAGAATTCAGACTATAGATATAGATCTGTGATCAACATTTAAGATGTTCTTTTTTTCTTCTGTATGAAAACCAGAAATTTCTAATGTGCTTTTTTAAATACACATTTTGTACTGATTAGCTTTTTATTTTGGGGTATAAAGTACATGTAACTTAAGTTTAACATTTATTTCCTGATGATTTTCACTTTACGCTTATCAGTCAGAAAAAAGTTCAAAGCATCACCAAAAACCACTTGAAGGAAGAATGCAAAAGAACCTGCTATTGAGTAGTGCTGATAATTTACATTCAGTAGTAGTATGTGCATGGAGTGACTGTGATATTCAATGTCTTTGTAAGTGTGTAACTCATCATTGGAATAGATTGAAAGGGCAGGAATGTACTTTGAAAAATCGTATCCATAAAACTTGCCACATGGGTCTGGAGATGTAGCTCAGCAGCACAAGCGCCTGCCTGGCAAACATGAGGTCGAGTTTGATCCCCAGTACCCTCCTCCCCGCAAAAATACAACTTGCCACATGGAACGTCCTTAAACATTAGTTTTTTTCTAAGTAACAAGTAAAAATTGTAAATATTTTTGGTATGTAGCATGATACTTTGAGTAAATTGTGAAATGATTAAGTCAAGCTACTTTAACATTTCTGTCATCTCATATGCTATGTACCATTTGGTAAGAACATTTTAGAGCTATTCACTTGACAGTTTTCAAGCATAGGACATATCCTTAACTATAGTCACCACACTGTGCAATAATTCCTTCTGCCTGACTGGAACTTTATAGCCTTTGACCAACATCTCCTCATTTCTCCTCCTCTATCCTGGCAACCACCTTTCTGCTTTCTGCTTCTATGAGTTCAACTTTTTAAGATTCTACTTGTGAGATCATACAGTATTTATGATATTCCTGCCTCATTTCCATAATATATTTCATTTCTGATATACTAAAGATTTGTTCTTGTCCTAAAATTTTTTTGTGAGAGATACTTTAGAGTTTATCTTAACCTTAAATCTTGATATCTGCTGAAAATGATTCGTTTTTCTGCCACATCCCAGAGTGTGAATTTTTAAAAACTTTAGAAAATAAGAATACATTATAAGAACTATACAAGAAAACAGATTTCAGATATTTATTTCTTTTGATAATTTGAAAGGTTTGGGGCATACATATCAAGTTTTGTGAAATTACCAAGTGATTGCTAAAGAGGAAAGTTAGAAAGAGGAAGGTAGCATAGATGCGGGCCGTTGACTCATCCTCTTGGAGTGAGGGCTATTCTTGTTGTCCTGCAGGCACCAGCCAAAGTGCTCACTCTGTGCAGTCAAGCCTGGTCAGACAGTCTCCCGCTCGGGCCTCCGTAGCCAGCCAGTCTTCCTACTGCTACAGCAGCCGGCATTCGTCCCTCCGGATGTCCACCACGGGATTTGTGCCTTGTCGGCGCTCTTCTACCAGCCAGATATCACTACGAAACTTACCATCGTCCATCCAGTCCCGCCTGTCCATGGTGAACCCAATGGAGCCTTCCAGCCAGAGTGCAGTCTGTGTGCAGCATGGCCTTCCCTCTTCCAGCAGCTCCAGCCAAAGCATCCCAGCTTGCAAACATCACACTCTTGTGGGCTTTCTTGGGACAGAGGGAGGTCAGAACAGTGCCACTGATGCCCAGCTAGGGAGCACCTTAAGTCCCCCCAGTAGTTCACATGTCAGAAAGGGCGAAGTGATTTACAGAGTCCAAGTAAGTAAGCCCAGAGGTCTTGTGCTGTTTCTGTTGCTCTTTTGTTTTTGTCTTCTTTGTTGTCTGAAAGACTCTTATGAAAACACTCCTTATATTTTTAGTCAAAAGACTAGAGCACTTTTGCATGTTAGGGGAAAAAAGTTTCTGCTAGATTAAAATTGGGTACAGTAAGCTATTTTTGCAATGTTGATACTTGTTTTCTATTCATCACTGACACATGCCTGTTGGCAGTAACAAAGTAGGTTGAAAAGAATGAGGCAGATGGCTCTTTAGATTTTTTTTTTTTATTTCACTATGTACAATTAAGAGTACATGTACAGAGTCCTGGGCAAAAAATTTTGTTGGGGTTATATTACTTTTCATTGCCAAAGAAATCAATGCATTGGAATGACTCCTGTTTATTTACAATTTAGATTGTGGATCCTAGTCAAGTCCTGGAAGGGATCAATTTGTCAAAAAGGAAAGAGCTGCAGTGGCCTGATGAGGGAATCCGATTAAAAGCTGGAAGAAACAGCTGGAAAGAGTGGAGTCCTCAGGAGGGCATGGAAGGCCATGTAAGTTCTCTTACATGTTGTGACTTTTGTCTGACTCACTTGTGCTCATGGTTTTAGTTGATTTATATATTTATGCTTAATTCTCAAGGCAGAATTGCTCCCTCAATCCTGAGGGATTAAAGTTTGTGAGTGCACACAGGGTCTCCTCCAGTAACTGCTTGTTTTGTTCGAAATTATCAGGTGATTCACCGATGGGTGCCTTGCAGCAGAGATCCAGGTACGAGATCCCACATCGACAAGGCAGTGCTTCTGGTCCAGATTGATGACAAATATGTGACTATAATTGAAACTGGGGTACTAGAACTCGGGGCTGAAGTTTGAGCTGGTGTTTTGTAGCTGCGTTTCTTTATTGTCTCATTTCCGAGACGTTGGCAAAAGAGAGGAGCAAGCAGAAGATGCCTACAGGGATCTCTTCAGTCCGGTGTGGGAGAGCCTGGAGAACAGTGACACGGCTAAGCTCCTCTCCTTCATCCTCCACCCTGCCTCCATCCCCAAATAAAGCTGAAATATTTTTTTAAGTTAGCTGCCGAGAAAACATTTGCATGAAGGATAAATTTCAGTTGAAATACATCTTTTAAAAGTTTTTCCTATGCATTGCCTATGCTTTAAATCAACAAACTCTTCATTTCTAAACTATGATCTCATATTTTTCTAATTTGTTTGCCAAAAATAATTGCCATGTTTCATCATGGAACATGAAATCCATTGACCTTGATTTTTACAGACAGACCCATGTAGAAGCATTCAATTTGATACATAGCAGTATAAAAGTTTAATGTACAGTGAGAGAAAAGATGAACAGAGGTAGATTTATCTTAGTCCTTGAACGCTAAAAACTTTAATGGAAAAAAAACTGCACTAATTTTTTACAATGCACTAAATTCTGAGATTTCTCAGAACATTTATTTATATATAAAATAAAATACCATTATTTAAATTGCCTTTGGAATTAACCCCTTCCCTTTCCTGATACAGTTAACAGGAACTGTGCTGCTTGGTTTTTTTTGTTATTGTTGTTAGTAGTCTGTACTTCATGCCAGTACATTGGATGTGTTCTTTGAGATGAATATGAAATTTTGAGATACATAGAACTTCATCCTTGACATTTCCTGGAGCCAGTGGTCAGCGGATCAGTCATGTGAACACCACTGCCAGCTACTGTGTCCACATCTAGATGAACTCCTTGCATTGTGTCCCCTGCACTTCCCTGCATGGGGTAGGCTCTGTCCGGGTTGGTTCTGGAAAGAAAATGCTTTTGCTTTTCAAGGAAGATGAATGTCCAGGAATTTAAAGACAAAATTGATTGCTTTTTATTTTAAGAGTTTTAGCTTTTGAAGTTACTCATATGAAGTTCAGTTTCTCAAGTAAAATTTTTTCAAACAAAATTACCCAAATGGTGCAGTTCTTATGAATATATTCCTCTTTAATAAGTTTATTTTTTATTTCCATCCTCTCTTCTTTTTCTAGTAATTGAATTTTATTTCACATAATTTATAATATGTAATTGTAATTTGAAATATTTATAACTGTGAAATTGACTTAATTCATATATTGTTTCATAAATTATATTGATTTTTTTAAAAAGTATTTTCAGGGAAATATATAACACAGTTTTACAATTGGGCTATGTGAGAATTACAATTTAGTTTTGATTTTCAACTTTTAGGATTTTAAATTCTTAAGAAAAATTTCCTTTTGCTTTGAAATTCCAAAGAAAATTCTTCATGACCTCTGAACATTTAGGAGCAACCATGGGTCTACCCCCCAGAGTAGATAGTAAAAAGAAGCAAGTAAAATTAATTCTTATACATTTTATTTAATCCAGTATATCCAAAGTACTGCCATTGTGACACGTGGCACTGATTATTTTTCTAGTGCTCAATAGCTGCGTGTGTGTCTGATGGCTGCCATGTTGGACCATGTATGTTTATATATATTTCAATGAGCTGAAAAGGGGAAAGTATTTTTCCTTCTGGTTCTAAAGTACATCTCACAGCAGCATAAGATGGCAGCAGAGGGAACAGAAACTAAGAAAGTAAATAGGTAACATACAGAATCTTTTCTGCATTTCCTTATGTTTTTTATTGTTTTTTTTCCCTAATTTTAAAATTTATAGTCATTCAGATCCCAACGTGCCTTGTGTTTACATTTTCGTAGACTTTACACTTTGGAAATTTTACTGCTTAGAAATATTTGTCAAATGATTTATTGAACCTTCACACAAAGAATGCTTTTTCAAATTGACCATTTGAAAGTGTATTTTTCTAATAGTGTCATATTCTAGATTTTCCTCATTTTGGCAAATCAACAGTATAAGTTCAGTGGGGGTTTTTTTCCCTGAAACTGAATATGTGATCTATTTTAAATCTCAAAAGAATTGTGTTCCCTGCTGTTCGCCCCCTCTTTGAATATGATCTTTTCATGATCGTTGCCGAGTAATAAGAGTAAATGGAAGCTTTTCAATCTTAGATGAAAGGTAATCATTTTCCCACACAGAAAAAGAAAAAAAAATCTGAACTTGAGATGATTCATTCCGAAAGGCTAGAGTTCTGTTTATTCTTCATCACCCTCCCCCAAATTGTTAAAGACGCTGTATATACTGAAAAGTTAGATTCCAAATACAAAACTGGGTTTTTTATGAAACATGTATGTTGAATCTTACTTTGTTTTTGTTTTTGTGTGTGTGTTTTGTTTTTTATTTATTTATTTTTTTGTACCGGGAATTGAACTCACAACCTTGCTCTTGCCTCTCAGGCACTTACACTGCTGAGCTAAACTCCCAGCTGAATCTTACTTTGGAATAGCAGTTAATGGACATTTTCCTCAAAACAAGTTGGCTGTTGTTATATAACTCTAATGAATTTACAAATTAGGAACCCTAAGAGAAGCTATACTGCTATTTTTTTAAGTTTAAAACAGTCTTTTAAAAATTATAACACTTTTCTAATTGTATCAAGGAAAGTAGTAATAATTGAAGAAAGACTCATGTCTAATAATTTGATCCAAATTAAAAAGTGTTTATTTCTGTATATTAAATTGATCATACAATTGGGCTTCTCCCCACAGAGAGGAGTGAGTTATTCATTTAGATTCTGTCCTTAACCATTTTCATTAATATACAATACTTCTTTCAGCATATGTTAGTGTTTTAGTTCATAAATTGCCAAAGTTTTCAGAGTTCCATAATTTAAAAGCAAAAATATGTAATTAAAGCATTATCTTTTTATTTACTTAAAGTGCAGTTGCATGTTTGACTCCTTTGTGTTACACTGTTTGATACTCTGTTTGAGAGAGTAACCTGGAATGAGTTGAAAGGGATTACCTTTTTTTAAAGTTTTTTTGTCTTAATGACAAAACCATTTTATAATTCCAAATTAAGCTTTTGGTAATCTTTTACCTTTACCTTGGTATGAACTCTCTTTGTATACCATTGACTTTTTATTAAAAAGCTTTTTAATTTTTCCAAGAATCTAGATTAACATAACATGTTTATGGAATTTGAGAGTAATGGTGAAGGTGTCTGTATTTTTTTTTAGATAAAAGGTAAGTTAATTAGTGAACAAAGTCAGTGTCTGCCTTCATTACTGGAATATTAGATTCCATTAGACTTGAAAGTTTTGAAAAATATATCAAGTATATCTGAAATACCTTTTAATCCTCAAGACAGAATATATCAGTATTTCCATCCTGAAAGATACATGGAAAAGTATTTTGGATACCAAATGTCAGGCTTTGGAAAAACAAGTTTTTACTTAGGAAACTATAGCTCATTAAAAAGATGAAATATTCTTTTGTGAGCAAGTCTTCTCAAAATGTAAAGTATACCTTCACATGTAAAGATGGAAAACTTAACCATAATAAGCTTTACTTTCCTTCTAAGCAGCATTCTTACACCTCTGCTTAGAAACTCCTAATTTGATCTATTGCTGAACTGAGTTGTTCATCCAGTGTCTAAAGTAGTGGGCTTTAAAAAAATTTTTTTTTTTAATTTGGCTTTTAAAAATTTGAACTACCTTTTAAGCATGTTTCATCTTAAATAAATATGTGACTTGAAAAAGTAAATAATAGTTTTATGTGGAAATTTTACAAATTTATGTTGAGTAACTTCTAAGCTATGAACTGGCTGCCCAGATTTTTTTTATATTTATTTCTAATTTTTCATAAACAGACAAATCCCTATCTGGATTTTGTTAGTGAGGGGTGCTTTTTAAATGCTCAGTATTTAATTCTTTCATAGTATGATGTAATCATATAAAGTTACTCTGTCTGAATACAGATGTAGTTAATTTTTTCATTTAACCTTCAGTTGTTCAGATAAGATGTATTTATTGTAGAGGCTTTCCTTTTTCACTCCAAGGTCAGGAGAGAGAAAAATGTCAAGGATGAGATGATGCATGGAACTCAACAGGCTTTGAATTCTCTGTTTTAGTCTTACATGGATATTAATTTTTATTGAGCAAGGGAAACAGGAAAGTAGATATTACCATGTATTCAGGCAGCATAAACTTTAGTACTATGTTGGATACGTATAACTTTTTTTAAACAAGTATTTAAAAGCCAGCCCCTTTTCGTTTCATTTCTTTTACAAATAATATAGGCGATTAACAGATCTTCTCATTTTAAACTTATTAAATGTTAAGACTGTAATTGGAAAGGAAATATTATATATTTGGTAGGATAGGCATGAACTATTAATTTTGTTGGAAATAGGTATATTTTCTGCTGTGAATCACCTCACCAGAGTCATGTGTCAAGAATTAATGTGTGATATAAGAATTTCTCCTTGTTATCTATGAGCCACATATTCTTTGTAAATCAGTAAATAATTCATTTGTGAGCTGAACTTCATTATCGGCCATTTTGTGAGATCAACATAATGGTCTGTGAGAGAACTACAGTCAATTGTCACTGCAAGGTTATGTGACAACTTTGTTCTAAGACTTACACCTATTATATAGGGTTCTACTGTTTTGTATGCCTCAGTTCTGTACCTGGCAATTTATGATTCAGTGGAGCTACGCTAGAAGGAATAAAGGAACATCTGACATGTATTAGGGATGAATTCCTGGGGGTTACCCATACAGACGAGGTGATGTCCTAGAATTTGGAGCAGAGAATATGGCTGCTCCAGATGACTCTTAGGTTTTGTATACTTATGGTTGAACAAGAATTATTTTTAATATATGAAACTTGATTCTACAACCAAAATAGTAGGATGAGGGGTTATATCTGCTTATGCTTTTTTAAAAGCTTATAGTTTAAATTGTAAAAAATGACTGTGTTAACCCTATAGAAGTCCAGCAGTGAGCTCTGCATGAAGAAAGGAAGGAGTAATATTAAAAATAACTCCAGGAGAGTGGGTGTGAGGTAAGAAAGTGGGTCTCCCTTTTCTGATCATGGGCTCTGGAAAATATTCCTCACCTTTACCAGCATTTGGTGTAAACTGGAGATAAGGACATTTGTGTGTACCTGCGTGTGCCTGAGAGTGTATGTGTGTGTGTCTGAGTGTTACTGTAAACAGCACGTAAATATTGTAGTTGTTTAAATGGAAAGGAAAAGCTGAAGAGTTTTTTTTGGCAAATATATTGCATCAAAAATATAGTATTGACAGTGGATAAAACACAAGAAATAAATCTTTTTTCATTTTGCCCTCTGTCCATTTTTATCAAATTAAGAAAAACCTGAATGCATTACCTTGAGGTCTATGTGGCATATTCTTAAAATATACACTTGGTTCTGAAGAAATCACTGTAAATTATTTTTTTGCTCTATAAATATGCAGTTTAGTTCATGGTAGCAGAGTGCATATTCCCTATTACAAGAGGGTCTCCTTCACTATTGGTAGAAAGGTTGTAATTTCCATTTTTCAAGTTGAACTGGATATTACTTATTAATGATATCCCATTAGATGAAACAAATAGAATAAGTATATGTCTATGTTCATTTACATACTGTATGCCAATACAGAAGAAAGAATTATGCTCATGAAAGTCAAACAAGCATTAACTTACTTCATGTACTTTGTGTAGTAACTCACTGAATTTCACATGTGTCTACTTAAAGATGCAGTCTAACTTGGAATGAAAATACATATACATTGATTAAGTCACTTACAAAGCCTTTATCTTATCATTTTAACTATGAGTAACAGAACTCGCAGGAGATAAAGATTATTTACTTTCTGCATCAGAGTCCCAAATAATTTGCTGTCTCCTTTCCAGATCATAGCGATACAACTGGAAACGTAGTGTTAAGTGTTAGAGGACACTTCTCTCTAGTGACAAGAAGCATCAGTAAATGAAACACATTTCAGAAAAAAGAATCTCCTGTATTAGTATGTTACATTCTTGGAGCCTGTCTTAATTTTGAGTTAATTTTTACTCATCGCTGAGACAGAATACCTGATGCCCAAAGTTGGGAAAGGAAAGGTTTATTTCTTAGAGATTTTGGAGGTTTCAATCCATACTCAGTTGGCTCCAAGGCAGGGTGGCATGGTGAGGCCACAGTTTGTGGCTGCAACAGCAAGGCAGAAACCTGCACGAGAGAGAGAGAGAGACAGACGCACCTTCTTCCAGCCATTACATTGTATGCTGGCTTCACCCGTAGGCGGGTGTAGCACTGACATCATCAATCCAAGTGCTAGACAATGAGCCAATCACAAATGCACAATGCATGTGCATGAGGCCTGGGGCCCACCGACATAAACCATGACATTTCACTCTTGGCCCCTAAATGCACATCCTTCCTTTATATAAAAGTCCATCTCTAAGAGTCGCCAAAGTCCTACATTTTTAGCATTGCTGAGAAGCCCAAGTCTCCTCCAATATTTATGGCAAACTCTTAATTGTAACCCTCTGTACAAATGAAATAAAGTTATACAAGGTTAAACATTTCTGAAATGAAAGGCACAAGATAAACATTGTCATTTTAAAAGTTACAAACGGGAATATAAAGCATTGGAAACAAAGCAAGTCCAACATCCAGCCAAGGCAAACATTAAATCCTAGAGTTCCGTGCTTAGCATTTGAAACAGTCTGGTTGCAAGCTCTAAAAGGCATGGGTGATTTCATCCCCATGGCACTTCCAGGGATTTTAGCTCCCGCAGATTTTCCCTTAAACCCTTACTGCTCACTTTCTGCAGCTTTCCTTGGATGATCCACATTCCTAGCTTTTCCAAACTTGGAGTCTCCACTGCAGCTTTGGCTTTACCCTTACATCTTTACAAATTGCCCCCTCGGGGGCATACTGTTTGGGCTCTTAAGCCCTTTGCAATCGAGGTGGAAGCCATCTTAGCCTCAGAATTTGTGCATTTTCCTTGCACCTAAAATCAGTACTAAGTGGATGCCACCAAGGTTTGCTGCCAGCTGGAGCAGTAGCCAGGCACTTTTCTCTCATGGCTGTAGGAGTCCAGTGCCTGGATTGCTGGGATTGCAACGGCTGGAAGAAGGTATATCTCTCTTTTGCAAGATTCCGCCTTGCTATCTGCAGCCACAAACTGCAGCCTCGCCATGCCACCCTGCCTTTCCTCACCTGATGGTGAGGAAAAGCTTTTTTTGTGTTGCCACCATTCAGGAACTTCATGTGGTCTCTGTTGCCATTTTGGAACATGGTACTCTGAAGCTTTCTCATCTGAGCAAATTTTTTCATTTTTGCAGTTTTGAGGCTGTAAAGGATGGAGACCCATTGCTTCCTGGAATGCCCCTGGCCATCTTCCTTATTTCTCTTCCTTTTCAGCAATTGAAGTCTCAACTCTGTCTTTATAATCCACAGCTTTACTGAAATTTTCCTTCTGGCCAAACTCACAGCATTTTAAATTATCCTGCTGGGATCTTTGTTCTTGATTTGCAACATATATCTGGCTAAAAGCCCCCCAACCATAGCCATGTCATAGCTTAAACATTCAACTGCCTTGAAATTTCCTTTGCCAGATTAAATCAGTCCATTGTCCTTAGACTCAGGCAAAGTCTCTGGACATGAGCAAAATGCAGACAAACTTTCTGCCAAGTCATAACACACATCTTAGGGAGTCCAACAACCAATGCAGTCCTTCCCAGCAGAAACATCCCAAGCCTGGTATGTACCATCAGGCTTTTGATCAGCCTTCTAGTCTCCTGAGCTCTGGCCAGAATCTCTTCTATAGAACAGCCCAAGCTCCTCCAGCTCTATGCATCCAGGTGACATATCCAAACCTTTTCAAACTCTGTCCACAAGCATTTCCAAAGCCTCTCAAAAAACATGGTCAGGTATAGTCACAGCAACAACCAACTCCTGGTACCAAATTTTGTCTTAATTACTTTTTACTCGTTACTGAGACAAAAATACCTGATGCCCAAAGTTGGGAAAGGAAAGGTTTATTTCTTACAGTTTTTGGAGGTTTCAGTCCATACTCAGTTGGCTCCAAGGCAGGGTGGCATGGTGAGGCTGCAGTTTGTGGCTGCAGATAGCAAAGCGGAAACTTGCAAAAGAGAGATATATCTTCTTCCAGCCGTTGCTGGCTGTATGTATGCTAGCTTCACCCTTAACAGGTGTAGCGCTGACATCCTTAATCCAAGCACTCGACAATGAACCAATCACAAATGCACAATGCAAATTCATGAGACCTGGTGGCCATCGACATAAACCATAACAGAGCCAAAAACTGAAGGAGCTGTTGATGTGAAATTTGAGCTCCATGAACCTCCCTCCTTATTCTTAACATGCAATTTACTTAGAGCTTTTTGTCCTAAAGAACCCAATAATGTTTTGCTGGACACAGTGAATGAATCACACCATGAGAGCATGCTTTTCCTTGGCATTAAGAAAAGCACCTTGTAAAAGAGCACCCTGAATGTAGCATCTTAGTTATTCAGTCAGCTTTGGGTGTTTTTTGTTTTTTTAGGTAAGTCTCACTGTATAATTTAGACCGGCCTTAAACTTACTGTGTAAGTTCAGCCAGCCTTGAACTCTTGATCCTCCTGCCTCAGCCTCCTAAGTGCTGGTATTAGGCATGTATCACCAGTCAGCTCATACAAAATATCTCATTCTCTCCTTTTTATGTGCTTATCAGAGGCAGCTAATTGTAACTAAACTGCATACCTTGGAGAAATACGCATATATTTTGATGTACAAGGATCCCTAGATTGCTATATGATTTTTCAGGATAGACATAGAGTGGTAAGAAATGAATCTGTCTTGTCTAGAAGACTTAAAGAGACCATTCAGTTTCAGTGTCCAGTAAACTATGACAAGGGGAATTAATCATTTAGTCTTTTTGCTTCCACAGACTACAGTTGGGATGAATACATAGAGTATTCCAGATCACATCTGGTCTCATCTTGAAGAAAATACTCAACCTGTTTTTAATCATGTAAATTCAATATGCTGGTATAGATAGTACTGCACTATAGTGTTCATAATACTGTTAATAAGTTCACTCTCACACCATCTACCATTTCTCCTTTGTATACCAAGAAATACAATGTGCCACAGATGTCACCGTAATTCTACAGTGTAGTACAAATGTCTCAAGTAAGGTGTCCTTTAGTCAAAATGCAGATTTTTCTAGGTTGTAAACTTGGGATTGACTTTTTGTATGTTTGTGATATGTCCATTTCTTTAATGAGTTCTGTAATATTAATTTACATGGGATGTTGACAGTTGCAAGAGTGAAAATTCAGAGTTGCTGAAGAATAGATGTGCTTACTACTAAATGAAAGATGAGGATTTCAGCCATGGTTACTCAGGTTACTTCAGCTCTGCCTAACTATAATCTCAACTTCACCATCTTTTGTGTGCTAGCTTACTTTTCAGGCAAGAGCCAGCTAGCTGTCTCTGGTTCTTGACCTTATTCCATACACATCGTCATCCAG